TAAACACTGTGCTATCACATAGTGTAGTCATCGAAATATATGTATTGATTTTTAACAACGGGATAAGGATTCGTTGCTGGTTCGTAGCCAAGAGATGACCGAAAAAAGGTCACATGAACTCATCAGACTTAAACAGTCCTTTAGATATCTGTAAAAAGGTGAAGTAAAAAAAATTATTCTTTTTTATGTTACACGTGCAGGTTATACAGAGAAAAAAGTTATGAAAATACGAAATCAAACGTTTTTACCGGAGAAAATATACGTGGTTATTTATAATGAATCCAATTTTTAATTGCCAAATAAATAAATATTGAATATAGTTTTAACATTACAGTGAGTACAACATAAAAGTAAACTTGTAACATGGATTTTCTGAGCAATAGCAGAGTATTATTTCATTATATTCTATTATCTGTGTCAACCTGGATTGTAATAGTCAACAATAAATATTTGCAACAATAAGTTTATTTTAAGTGAAGAATTAAAAATAGAGTTGATTTAATTTGGCTTAAAAGAAAAATTTTGATTACTTTTTATAAAATAGTTTTTATTTTGTAATAAACTTTAATAATAATAAGATCATTGAATGCGACAAAGGCAATAATGCAGCATAATACACAACAATACACAATTAACAAGGTAGTTCAGATAAACTAAAAATTATTTAATTCAAGCCATAAGTATAAAGGCAAAAAAAAATATTTAAATATATATATTGTCTTACAAATATAAGTTCCGTAAATACCAAAATGTTAATTTAAGAAAAAATTCATGTTAGTATTTTTTATTTTGTTTAATTTTTATCATTTGCTAGTCTGTTTGATTTATTAAAAAGCATAACGTATTAGTAACTTTTTTGATGAGGAATACAATAAAATAATTATAAAAGTGTTAATTTTTGGTATTACATGAATAAAAGTTACTTTTATGATATTAATTCGTTTATATATATATATATATTAAAAAAGAAGTAATTTTTATGACATTGCTTAATAATTATAACTTGTCTATAAATAGGCTATTATGATGAAACACAATACATAATTTTATAATACAAAATATTTTACATTAAATATTATAATATAAAATAAAACATTATTTTACAAATTGTCAAAATTAAAATTATTTTATTTTTTCAAAAACTAATATCGTTTTATTAAACTTGGAATTAAAAAATAATGATTGTACTACATTCACGACGATCATGAATATACTAACAAGTTATAACCAAAATAAAATAAACTCACTGTGTCATCTGAATGTACTACGTGAAATAAACTTTCCAAGTAAAAGTAATGATAATAATTTAAAAACTATTAAAATACAATGCCGCTACTTTTGGAAAAAAACTGACATACTAAACAAGACCGCCGCATTTTAGATAAATGTGCGATTATTAGACAATAACACCGTATCTGTAAAAATAATTACGGCGTTATTGCTTAATTTATGACAACTTTTGTGACAGTTTTTCGGAAATTATTAACATTTTTAAATGTTTACTGAGGATGAGATGTGGTGTATGTTATTTTTATCAGGACGCATTACTCTGCCGCGGTACCCCTCCCACAAAGGTATAAAAATATTCATAAATCCTAAACTACTGATTGAAAACCTGTTATTGACCAGTTATTTTCTTAGTTGGGTCGTTTTCTATTATACGAACTAGTTAAATATGCATGTTGCAATTAAAAAATATAAACCTTTAGAGCTATGATGGATTGAATAATATTTAATCAGACGAAAATCAAAAAATAAATAGAAATTTATAATCCAAAAAAAAATAAAAATGCTCTAAATTATAAATATATTAGAAAAAAAAACGTAGAAATTATTGTAGACGAAGGCATAAAGTAATATGTTTGTTGACACTTGGGCTTAAAAATATTTTCGACTGTCTAGAAATATTAGTTTACTTCATCTTAATCTGAAAGATTGCCTAATAGTTATAAATTTATTTAATTTTAACATTATCAGACTTTTATGGGTTATGGTTAATTATAATTTGTGTGGAAAGTCTTACGCCTGAATTTTTCAAATTTAAAACTATAATCTCTATTTTATAATTAGTAAAACTGCCTTTATAAGTAATTCCCATATCTTATTGTAGAAAATTATTCGATGATAATAGTTAATTAGTAGCTCAAATTTGGCCCGTGTTTTTATTGACTACGCTGTTGATTATTTGCCAGATTACTTTTCAGACTTTAGTCTAATTGAGATGTTGAAAATTAAAGTATCCCGAATAACGTAAATGCTCATTCTAAATTTTTTTTTAATTAAAGATAATGGCTCGCAGATTGTTTGAGTAGAGATTAGAGGGTAGAATCACTGTACATACATTATTGGCTTTTATTTCACCTAAGCCGGTGTTAGACGAAGTCATGTTGGCATCTGTCGGCTAGCGCTATTCGGACAGTTTAAATCTAAAAAGTTATAATGGAAAAAGTTTTCTTTAACGTGCGTTTCGCACACTCGAATTTAATAAATAATGTCATTAACCAATCAAGCCATCCGAAAAGGAAATATTCGATCTTATAAATTCATATTCACGTTTATTATTTTTATTATAGAATATTGATTATAAGTAATCCGCCATGTAAGGGGTGGGGAATAGGAGAGGAAGTAAAGTTGTGCAATATTCCTTTTAGAAATCTTAATCGTTGGTTGCCGAACTCGCTCTCGAAGAAAAAATTCTATCTGACACGTGCTCCAATAAGTATGTCAGCTCTAGATACTTTTTAAGTGGATTGCTGTGTATTTTTTCTAGAATTTTCCAATAGTCCAAGCTACGGATTGCACTTAAACCACCGGCTGATAATTTCTACAAATTAAGTGGAGCAATATTAGTTACTATTATTTCGAGCTTAGTAGAAATTGGCAAATCCGCATCAATTTATAAAAACGATAAGAAAACAATTCTATTTTATAGTTTTAATTGGTACGTTCGTCGTTGCCGATAATTAATTGAAATATTTTAACTCGTTCTGTAAAATGAAACATCAACGTTTTCGTGTAATTGTTTTCGAAACAGGACTTACAATTTTTATTTGTATTTTACTAGGTTAAATTATTTATTATATGACTGGTCAGTTATCGACGTTATTTTCATTAAACTAGTTTAATCCGTTTCAAAAAAATAAATAATGAGTATTTTTCGCTATTATTATTATTATTTGTCATTTTGCTACATTAAGATATGGATTCTTCTTATACCTCGAGTGTTCTAGGTATAATATCTGCTCAGCTTTTATTGGCAGTTTCGGACCCCTTACAGTCATTATTGATGTACTCTACTAAATTACAATTCATTCGCTCACCCCGAGTGTGGCGTAGTATTTCTGAGTTTTCCTAATGTTCAAAATATATTCAACTTTACCCTTCTCTGTGCGCACTGCACCGGGTAATTCTCCTTCGTTCAAGTAAGTATATTGTCAACGTGGTGCAAACTCCGAGTCGGTTATCACCGCTCACCAGGGACACCCACCTAAATTGTTAGGACTAGGACGCCCCAATGTTTTGATAAAGACACTCAACGAAGGTCGTTTTCTCGGCTTACGACCACAATCCTTCTTAGAAATGGGAGAGAACAAACAAAAACACTTAACTGTTTAATGCAACGCGCTTGTTGCACTATTATTATTATTATTATCGTTATTATTATTATTATTATTATTATTGTATTACAACGCCAGCTTTACACCAAAGGGAAATCCTAATGTATCAGGTCCCAATTCAGAAAGTAGAATCAAAAGAATATTTTAACGGCCTCCAGTGATTTCTATGATATCGTACCGTATATTTAACTAAGAATTTCGAAATGATTTATGTGTGCAGGATCGGCATGATACCGTTAGTAAATAAATAAATAAATGTGCTCGCGGATGCAAGTCTTGTAAATCTTTCAAAAATATATAACAAAGGAAAAATTATTACATTAAGCGTACAATGTGCGTTTTTCGGGGGACTACTGTCAAGATTATCATTTAAGCTAAGCACACGAGATCGTTGTTTGGATTTTACTCGAGACTTTGAGATTACGCTTATTAAAGTGTGAAAGACTAAAATAGTTTAAGCATTTTTCCACGAAAAAATCCACACAAGTTTTTATGGGGTGTTTTCATATAAAAACCTTCAAAATTAACGAATCGAACTGTTTAAAAACGACGCGCTGTAATTAATATTAACAGATAAATATTCAATGAATACAGTCTTTCATTCATCATTGTTTTTCACTTTTATTATTGTACCTGAACATTGAAATAAAATTTGTTGGGAAATATTTTACTTAGATTTGTGTTGCCATCGCCTGTTTCTATTCTTAGAGGGATTAGCGACTGCTATTTCGACGAATGCTGTTCTCTAAAAAGTTACGAGAGAAAAAGCATTGGCCCTCTTCCGAATTAAACTTTTTTTACTTACTTACGTTTATAAATGTATGATTATTGAACTCAAACTCGACTTCTCCGTTGTACGCGTTTCATTCGATATTATACATTAAACTATGTACCTTCTTCTGGTTCGGATTAAACTCACGAATGAAACATACAAAAGAAAAATCGTAGTCACATACGACTTCTGGTCGCAGTACACAATAACCCTTACTGTAGGGGAACACAGTGAATATATTAATAATAACAATAAAATAACCACTATTCGGTTATGACGTGATATATATGTAAAATACTCTTACTCTAATATTGCATTCATGTGTATGTACGGAGTAATGAAAATTCTTCAATTTAGATATTTTTCTTTAAATTAAAAATGATGTTTTTTACTGCGCTGTTTAATGCCATTTTAAGTAGCGTGTGTCGCTATTCACTATTTCTTTACTGATGTTTTTTAGTTCGAAATGTAATGGAAAAAAATATTTGCATTCGATCGAAATGGCCTATTTATATCTCAATATGTTTTACACGGAGTTTATTGTTAACCAATCACCCTGTCTGGGTCTATAACTATAAGTTCTTATTTCCTATGTTTTTGTTTGTCCACAGGCGAAAAACCGTATAAATGCGAATGGGTCGGTTGCGGCTGGAGCTTTGCCCGGTCGGACGAGCTGACCCGCCATTACCGCAAGCACACTGGCGCCAAACCGTTCAAATGCCGCCACTGCGAGCGGTGTTTCTCCAGATCCGACCATTTGGCTCTGCACAAGAAACGGCACTTTACTTAAATAAGCGCCTACACGCACACACGCCCAAAAACACATTCGCATACATAGATGCAATCGCATTAAATTCCATCGATGCCGTATGGTGTATCAGAATACACACACCGATTCAGCACGAACAGACCTTAGCCAGTTTATTATTTTCAAAGTTTAAATAAATGTTCGTAAAACTTTTAAAAGCTTCACCGCCGTCGCCATGGTCAGAACTAACGGATAACTTCGGATCTTACTGAAAAAAGCGAGGTGTTTTTTTTTTTTATTATTATTAAATAAAAACTATAAATTATTATATATAATTATTATGTATATTAAGTTTATACTTATTTTGTTACCAGTAACGCGCTTTCGAGGCTCGTACACTTTTTATGATGTATGTACATTATAATTGATTACATACAATACCAAAGTAATAAACTTTATATTATTAAATTTAAATATAATGTAATTATTATTGAAAATTTACAAAAACATTTTTATCATCGTTTGTACATAGTAATATAATTGCCGCAGTTTCTTATAATCTAATTTATTATTAAATGATATGAATTTCGATGATTCAAATTACTATTATAATAACCTAAGTATAATTTTAGTCATAAGCCAATGTAATAAAACAAATAGACTCCGGAGCCTAATGATCAAAATCGTTAATAAACAATATTGTTGTTTTTAATATTTATTAATATATTCCAGGTGTGTGTGAACACGTTTTATTATTACTATCATAATTATTAATAATATTAAAATAAAGAAAACGATTAAAATTTATGTAATTATATTGTGGGTTGGGTTCTTAGTACAAGATTTTGTATGAGTTCACATACAATGTTTTTTGTATTATATGTAGTAAGTTTTGTAAATAATAAATCATTCTAGTTGTAATTCTTTATTGTATTAGACGAATATACTGTATTTAAAAATTCGTGCATTCATAGAACTGATGTATTAGATCCGTTTGCAATTAAATGTTCGTCCAGCCGCAGTAGAACGTACTGCCTTCTATCAAAATCGGCGGTCTGCATTTTTCGCTTTTCCTCTTATTTTTTTAGGAAAAACTTTCCTATACAGTGCTTTTATTACAACTATTATTTTTTGTTTTGATAGCATTATTATTTTTTAAATCGTTGATGATATTGGTTTTTTGGACTATTAAATTTTTATCCATATTACTTCATAATATGCGCATTTTCTCGTCTCGGCTTTCAATTAATTACCAATGTTTAACAACCTAATAAGCTTCATAGTAAATCTCTTATGCGTAAGCAAAAGGCACTGCCATTAAACAAACTACCAAGTAAATATAAAAATATCGAATTATGATCAACTAGCAGTACATTTTTAAAAATTAATGATATTAATTATATCAAATTAAATACAACTAAATATAGTGTATGTAATATTTAACTTTGTACCTACATTTTTACTCTACAAAACGGGGCCAGTAATAAAATTATGCGTAACTTGTTATTTTTAATGTATTCTACTTATTTATTTCAAATTTTATTTATTTATTTATTTTGTTGCAAAGTTAATATTTTATTTTATCCATTTATGGGTTTGATATTATTTAATATTTACTAAATATTATATTTATTTTATTTTATCATTGATATAGTATTGTTATAGATTATTAAATACAATTATCTACCATTATTTTTATCATTATTATTATTATCATCATTATTATTGTTTAATGCTTATAGATATTGCACCATAGACCCCATAATTGTTGCCAGTTTTATTATAAATTTAAAAAAAAACACCTGAAAAGTGTTTTTTTTTTTAAATTATTATTTTTGTTATTGTTATTAGAATATTGTGTGTTTTACTGCTATTTTAGAATAATAACTAGTACTAAATGGTATTTAGTTTAATTAGATACTTTATTTTGATTTGTTCAAAAACTATGCGGTTAGTAATTCGTAGAGTTATCTTATGCTGTTCCCCGAATTTAAATTATTTTTATAAAATTACATATTTATAATTTTATATAATTAATGAATTAAACATTTTTTTGTTAGATAATTATTACTACTACTAAAAATTAATTGTTGTGCAGTAAAATAAATAAATGTAATTTAGCTATTATTAATGTTGATTTTGGAAAATAAATTGTTTATATTAGTCAAACATGAAATTAAAAACAAAAATTAAGATAAAATATCAAATTAATTATAAATTAAGCAGACTTTTTGTGATGAAGCTTTCTAAACGAAAAACTGTAAATAAAAATATTTAAAATTCTTTAACGACTGGAATTTATAATTACTATAAACTATTTAACAATTTTGCTTACATACCACATAATTTAACCATGTGTTTAACTTTCATTATCTTATATTTATTTTACCAATTATTTGAAATGATATGATGTGATTGTAACTTACTGTATAATTCAACAACCGGCAGTACTTGTTTTAATGATTTTATAATCGAGTAAAATGTTTACTGTAAATGTTTTAAATTTCGAGTTTATTTATTTTCCTATTTTATTTGAATTCTTTAAAATTTCGTACAAAGTAAGAGTATTATTAGTATTTTAAGAATATTGTTTTCAACAAAGCTACATTCAATATTTATGAACAATGTATTATAACGTTTATTATTTGGTTTTGATATGACGACGGTTAACAATGTATTGTTCTTCGTCAGATGAAATATCTGTAAACATGTATTATAATAATTATACATATAGCATTATCATTATTTCATTGAAAATTTTCCCGGCTTAAACTTTGTAAATTTTAAGACTTAATTATTACTACGACGGCGATAAAACATTGTTATCGATCGTCATCTTTAAAATAAAAAAATAAAATATTGAACTAAAAAAAAATTGTTTTGTTTGCTTTAGTATTATTTAAACTGATTTCATGATTTTCTTTTCACCTCAACATTTTATATTCTATTTTACTCGATAGATTTAAACAGAAAAGCAGTTGTTGTAAACATAAAATACATAACACGATTTAAATTACTGAAAAACAACGATTTTTGATAATAGAAAATATTTTAAAGCTTATGAAATATGACATTTAAAACGCATTTAAATAAATTTTACTCCTAATATTCTATTTACTTTTATTAGACTTCATAAACAAAATATTAAACTTACAAAAAGTTAAATAAATATCGAGTTTAAATAGATTATAAATAGTTTTTCAGTACATGTTAAATTTTTCTAATTAAAACATCATTTGAGTAACTCAATAAGTATCTGTAATGATTTCATTATGAGTTGTCAATTGCAAGCGTAAGAGAAATATTTCTGTACTTAGGTCATCACATGACCTTTGTTGAGTTTTGAATTGCGTCACTCGTACAAGACGTGTCGATACTCATTTGAAAATGATATCACAAAGGGGTTGAAATGTACAGAAATAGTGATAAAACCGTCAACGTTCAGTTACAACGGTTTGCACAGTTAATATCACAAAAACATGCGAGCTTCGTAACATTTAGGTTATTGGGGTGTAATCATTGTGGATGTCTCGACTTAACGGAGCCACACAATTTCCCATTGTTACTAAGTCCTCCTCCTTTTCTGCCGCGAACAATAATTAAGTCTTACTTTGCTTTGTTAAAACCATACACTTTCTCTCGCGGTATTTTATCAATATGCATAACTACGTTAATTTACTCAAATATTGTAAATTATGACATTATTTTGTTGTGTATAAAAAAAACGGGTGGATCACTTATTTCGCAGAATCTATAGGGCTGGGTATATGTATGAATATTAAAAAATTGTTTCTAATTTAAAAAGAACTTTTTAGGTAGCTGAAACCTACCTCACTATACTTAATCTTCGTTTTTCACTCGACGGTATGGCTAGTAACATAAATTTATTTCATACTAATATATTAGTGTTACTTTTATTTTATCTGTGATTACTTATTTAGATTAAATTTAAGACCTTCAATATTATACAGATAGTTTTCGGTCAATCAATAATCAATGAAATAGAATGTAATTTAATATTTTTTTAATGTTCAAATTGGTTGTTCAAAGTTTTATATTTGTAAAATATTATATTATATTATCTTTGGATGATGTGTCTGAAAGCAAATAAAAATTTAAGTAATTGCTCTATGATACATTAAACTTCAAATACAACCGTATTTAAAAGTTTGAAAATACAAAAAGTAAAATTTATTTTAAATTAATTGAACTTATAAGAGAATTTAGACTAATCCTTGCACAATACGGCAAGTAATATTTCATTAAATAATACTATTCTAGTAAATGCAGTATAACATTTGTTTCCAATTTAAATTCATTTTCTTTCATTAAATAAAATCAACGGTTAATTGATATCTGATCCAAAATTACAATAACAAAAATTTGGAATTCAAATGTCTTGAAAATAGTTTGTCATATATTTTTTATATAATACAGTTAATTTACGACAAATTTTTAAATACTCTATTGACAATCTCATTATAAAAAACTATAAAACTCTATTTTTAATAAAATAGATTAAACTGTGTTGTATTTGAAAATATCTGACAATTTTTTCATAGATTAATGTTTATAAATGTTTTACTCGAAATACGTGGTCAATCACTTTAGCATTCACTTTATATGTTAATACAGTAAAAAATAATGTCTTCGCCGAACAAACTATAAACATGTTCTATAATGAATCACAATGATTTGTAATAAGCAATGGTTTATGTAAAATCCAACATGTCATCTGATCTTTGTCTTTTTCCTCGCCCTTATCCTAACTACTTGGATACAGCTACTCTTCCTATCCTTTCAACAAGTCATCAGATATTTCATAAATAAAACATAATAATAAAGATATCATTTGCATTATTTCTTTATTTTAGTGATCAAATTCATCTCAACAATATTGAACAGTACATTTTATTAAACATTTACATATGAACATTTAATAAAATATGCGACTTGTAGAATTGTATATTTAAATAAATGTATGTATATTTATTTTCATTTTTCTCTTGTAAAATCTTCTTGGTGATAATATTAATTCGTTAATTTTTCTCAGATATTATCATAATTTTTGCACATGAACTCTATCATACTTTTAGATGAGATTCAACTATGTAAGTTTAGTTTTTCAAATTTTAGTCTCAACCTAATATAAATATTAATGCTTTCATGAAATGATATACATCTCGGAACCTTTTCATCCTCGTTATTGTTATTATTGCAGTATTCAAATAAAATATAAATAAACTTTTCAGACCAATGAAGAAATTTTCTTTCCTCTATACATTTTCTTCCATCAACTACCATCCCTATGAATGCATCTACTTACGCGTTTTATGTGCATCCAATATGAACATGTTCGTAGGTATATTTTGCATTTTATAGAGGGTAAGTATATTTTTTATATGGGCACATGTTTGTTTGCATAATATTGAAAAATATCGACTTATGGAAGATGATAACATAGTAAAGTCATGAATTCAGAAGTCATATTTAAATTTTAATGTAAATAAAACTTAAACATGTTGACTTCTTTTAATATTTTCTGTGTTTTTACCAATTTTTATAATAGTGTAAACTAGCACAAAATGTTGATTGGATTATAAATAATTAAAAATTACTGGTTAAATTATTTTAGGCTGAATACATATAATAAAAAACAACAAATTTTATAGATGTTATAGAAGTTTTATTTAGAAATTCCATATTTCAGAATTATAATTAATCTTTTGTATCACAAACACAAATATAATTTCAGTTTCAATACAAAAAGTAAGTATGTAATAATTTTACCATGATTTTACCATTTTACCATGATTTATTTATTTATTTTTTTATGACGGTTTCTACTTTTCCTCTCTCTGGACCGATTTTTTCAAAAATACATCAAAAGAGCAATTTCTTATTGTAGATATTACCCTCAAAAATTAAAAAAAAAATCTTTGATCTACGATGATAGTGGAAATCACTCAAAGCATTAAGATTTTTAAAATAGATAAATTTCAACATTTATTTAACTTCTCTTTATAAAAGTATAATACATTTTTAATTTGGATTATAACAATTTTATTTATATATATATATATTAGATGTTTTCTTTTATTTAAGTATGCTTTTTTTGAAAATCTAACTTTTTAAGAGGGGAGGGAGTCATAATAGCAACTTATGCACAAAAACTTAACTTAAGTAAACGTTCCGAAAATACTGCGTCCTTTAAACATATGTTAAATTAAATATCATGTTATATACTATAAGTTAAAAAAAAATTTACAGTCATAGTGAGTATTACGCTCACTATGTTAAATGGGGGTATTACACCCCCATTTAACACCTCCTTTTATAAAAAAAATAAAGTGTAAGTTACAAATATTTTCAAGGAAAACTTTTGCAGCTTTGTGATATTAATCCAATAAGAATATTAAAAGGAAAGAAGTTGCCGTTACCAAAAAAAAATGGTTTAGCTTATACTACTTTTGATAAATTACAATTTCATGTCAGAAATTATAATTAACTAAGGTCAGAATAATCAAATTAAAAAGTTAACTTTCTTTTCTCTTCTTTTGAAAAATTCATGCTTAAAATTTTGATGTACATTTATTATAGACAACTAAATATACTTTATATCATTTCATAATTTCTCCATAAACATTACATTACTAAATTATTAAATTTCAATTTCATACTAAATTTTATATTTATAATATTTATTCATTCGTATATACTTATAAACCATAAAACTAGTAATCAGGATATAATTAAAGAAATATAAGTTGATGTTGATTTTGTAATAATATAACAATTCTTTCTAAAAATTAAATACTATGTATAAATTTGCATTGAAGCATTTTTTGATGATAGTGATTTTAGTCACTATGAAATGTCATCTATACTTGTTTCAAATATGCCGCCATCCCCTCCCACTGTGATGGGTTTTTATTAATATATTTCTAAAAAAAACTCCATTAATATTCAATAGTATTTATTTTTTTTTACATAAATATTTAATATAAACTATAATAAACAGGTGCTTTATATAATAATAAAAATAGCATTTTTAAATAGTTTTAATAAAATTTAAAAATATTAATAAATATCAGTAATTTAATTTTAATTTCAATATTATATTTTATTTCCGCGAGTTATATTAGAAAGTTATATTTTTCTTATTCATAATCTATATTTTGATATAGTGAAAATGCGGTACGATAAGTAGTCGATCACTTCGCATTTAAACATCTAACATCTAATTAATATTATTTCAAATTATTCTTATCACTCATTTTTAATTTGATCAATTATTATTCATATGATGTTTATGACGCGTCGTCGGCTTCGTTATGGACACTTTTAACATCTCTCATATCCACGGGTCATTTATTATTATTTTATTTAATTATTAATAAACCTTATTATTCGATTGCGCTACACTTAATTAGTACGGCCTTTGATTGTATTTCTAAATGGATATAAACTATTTAGAAGCCCTCAGTATTTAAGGTAGTTATAGTTTAGCCAGTTATCCTATTTTAGGTACCCGTTGACGTACATTTTAGGCTTGTACCCAAATAGCGTTGTATTAGTTAAAAACAAACAGTTTTTATTTAGTAAAAAAAATGTTTCTTTAGAATATTTATATATATATTTTTAGTTTAACATAACCTATTTTTAAGTAATATGCATTAATATTTACTATTATTCTTTATACTTAACAAATTTTTAAAGTCCAATATGTAAAAGCCATTATTAAGCACTATTAGTTTAAATGATTTTACTTTTGGGAATCATTTAAAAGTGCAAAAAGTATTTTATCGTCTTGTTATACGTTTAAGCTTAGTTTGCATAAAACAATTGGGCGTAAGTAAAAAATAAAAAGGTTTCTATAGCAATAAATCTCAATGAAAACAAAAAATTTAAATTACTTTTCTTTAAAAGAAATAACCTAAAAGTGTATTTGCATTATAATGATCATTTCAAAGTCTAGACATTTGAAGTAACACCATTGTGCCTATTAGCTATAAATCGAATTTTTGTTTGTGTAAAATATTACATTGATGGATATCTAAGATTTTCATCCTATACCCACTAAAAAAAATCTCTAGGCATAGAAAAATATGCTAAGGAAGAATTTTGTATATTTTAACAAACGAATAAGTCGTTTTTCAGAGCAGCTAACTCTTAAAATAAAAATGCCTCCGTTGAAAATAAAAGGCAAATAAACAATAGACATAGAACGGCGTAGTATAAAAAAAAGATTGTAGTACAAAAAATCAAATAGGACAAGTAGTAAGCCTAGTAACACAACCGAGGAAAAAATCTTTCACTACTTGTACCCAACCTATAAATAAAAACATACTAGAACACAAATATGGGAAAATAAGTATTGGAATAGCCGTAAAGAATTTTTTGGTCATTATACGAACATTGCCGTTCTTTAACATAGACAAATAAAATAATATTAAAAACAGTCTCTTTAAGCACAATAAATATACCACTTATATGATATTCTATATATGATTTGTATCATAAGATCATAAGATCTTTAAAATTATTCGATGTTCGATATTCATTTAATTACATAATTTTGTATTTAATTGAAAAACTTTAAAGATATAGAATCAAGGAGTATACCTAAAAATTTATCATAATGTATAATTATAAATAATACAATTATTAATAACGAATATTTATAATAATATAATATTTATATTATATTTAAAGGGCTTCCGATGTTAAAGAAAGTTTTGTGTTAAAATTTAAACTTTAGATTTTCAATTTCTATTATCTCTATTTGGAAAATGTATGGTTTTTAATAAAAATATTTATTTTTTATTCTCATTATTTCCACTTGTACAAGTGAGTGTACTTTTTGCATCTTATATAAATACATATTAAGGCTGTTAAATCAGTAGTGTATTTCATCAGTAGTAGATCCATGACGTCTGGATTACCCTTCTCCTCATTAATGTCTAATTTTTTGGTCCAACCAAGTAATTATACAGGAACAGCAAGTAAGAACCCTTATAAAAACCCCTCCACATTACAATAATAAAAAATAAGACAAACAAGATTTATGTGTTATTGGAAAATATTTTAAGGGACAAATTTTGCAGCTTTTAATGTCTATTCAGTATGTATATTAAATTAAAGGGATCTGCTCTTTTCAAAAAAATTAATTTAGCTACTAAATACTCATGATAAATTAAAATTTCAATTTCATAACTGAAATTATAATTTACTAATTAGGGTCATAATAATCGAACTTTAATTTCTTTTTTTTTTTATAATTTCTCCATAAAAATTACAATACTAAACTATTATATTTCAATTTTATACTAAATTTTATATCAATAATGTGTATTTATTCGTGTATTATACTTATATATCTTAAGACTAGAAATCAGGATTGCTTTTGTAATAATTTAACAATTCTTTCTAAAAATTAAACACTGTCTACTACCCAATCAGATTTGCATCCAAGAGTTTTTGATGATAGTGACTTTAGTCACTATGAAATATTATCAATACTTATCCCAACTATATGGCTACCCCCTCTCACTGTGTTGGGCTTTTTTGTTTAAATAGCATGTCATTCATTTGGTTATCATTTTGATTTTTAGCATAAATAAAGTTTCTTTAGCATGTCTACCATAGTATTAAATGAGGTGTCTTCCTTTCCTAAAATGAATTTTAAATACAACTCTGGCCAACTGGAACAGTTGTAGAGTATTATATTTAATACATTTTTAATTAATGTACTTTTAATTAACAATTCTAGTACACGGTAATTCAAAGAAAATATACAATTTTGCTATTGTCTACTAATTTTAATCTTAATGTATCATGATTTTACACTTAGAAAACGTTCATTTCTTCTGAAAAAAGAATTTTGAGATTTCAAAAATTGTAATTTTTAGGGGTATTTTCTCTATTTGCGGGGAACGAGGAATTTTATTTTAGTTTGTTTTTAATTTTGTGTATAATATCTTCAACTATTAATAATTTAAGATCTTTTAATATATCGTTGACAAAATTCGGTTCAATAAATTCTGAAAAAAAGTGGTGACAGTTGTCGTACGTCAAATCACTAATTACTACACAGTCATAATAAACAATTAAATGAACGAATCACAGTAGAGCCAAAACCTTCTCAGTTCGCATCGAAGCTAAAACTAATAATCTCGTAAAATTTTAAAAAGTTATTATACTTAACACAGTTTTATATAACACATAATCTTTCCTTTAGCTCTCCTGTAAAATTTTACTATTAATAAAAATACAAGTTGTTGCTTAAGGGTAAAATATGTAATTACGTGGCGCCCTCTAGCCACTTATCAAACAGCCATACATAATTTATATTCTTTATCCATCCAAATCTCTTTTGCTTATCAATGTAAATTGATATATATTGAAATATCTGTTGTTAAAATTCAAATATACTAAAAAAAGAACTGGGCTTTTCTTCAATCTTTAAATTTTTTTCTTCAAATTTTGGACATTGTAATTTTTAAAACTGATGGTATAGTTACCATCTTAATTAGGTTTTATGGCATTCATTTTTTGTATTAAATTGTGAATTTAAAGTAGAAGTCTTCATATTTACTTATTCAAATACCTATCTGAATCAAATGTACACTTTTTCAGAATGTGAGTATTTACTTTGCATTATTATATTTATTATTTTATTTTATTTAAGGAATCATTTTAATCAATAATAGTTTATTACCAACTACTGCAGTTACACGTTTTTGTTCATTGTTTATTTAATCAATATAATTTTTAAAGTAAGAGTTGAAATAATTTGTAAATGTCTATTATAAATTGTTTAAAGTGTAATGGAAATATTATTAATAAAGCTTGCCTGTTCTTAGTATATGAAAAACTCATTATAATTGGTCTGAATGAAGGTATAAATAAGGTATCTTACAAAAAATACTAATAGTACATTGTTAAGTGATTCCTAAAAATTGAAATAGATTAGTGATTCTATACGTAATAAAATGTACAGTTTAAAATTTATTATCAAGAATGAGCTGATTTCATTAACTTTTTAATTTTAAAACTCAAAAATTTCAACATGACATTATCTAAAATTCTTAATAAGATGAAAGCAACTTGAAAAAAAAAATAAAAACTACTTGTTGATAATAACATAAACTTAATAAAGAAATAATTGAGTTTAAATATATATTAAATACTCTTGAACAAAGTAGCATTAATTCTACTGTTTGAATATTAGGTGCATCATCATCTCTAGATTATGTAAATAGTAATGTTAATATTGTATTATTATTATTATTGTTACTACTCTATTTATCTCTAATATCTTCTCTAAAAAGCTATGTTTATGTAGAACGGGAGAACTTACATAGTCTAGTGCAACAAAATCAAACTTTAATACCAAAGCACTAAAGCTAAGCGTTTCCAACTAAGCTAAGTAGGCTCCTATCAATATCAATAATTTTGAACTACCTGTTTTAACGTTTCCCTCTTACCCTATCTTCTATAAATCTTATACATATTTAGAGAGAGCAGAAGAATTGAGGATATATATTATATATCATTAATATATATATATAATTGTCTTGACGCTTTATAAAAGTGTATATATGAATAAAACTTATTAAATAATTAAATTTTTATTGTTATAGTTTGACAAAAACGATTGAATGGACTGAAATTAAAGCAGGAATAGATCAAATTATATTAAAGTTTTTTAGAAACATATTTAGAAAGCAATATTTCTCAATTTGATGAAGTGACTTTAAGTTATAATCTACACGGCAAAAAAAAAAACAGATAGAACCAATATGAATTACACTTTGAAAATGATCATTTATTCAATAGTACTGATAAATCAAAACAAAACAAAATCAAAAGAAATATAAGTGAGAAATAACAGTGAAATTATAACAAAGATAAAAATAATTATTTTAATTGAACTTTTAATAATTTCATCATCAATTAGTTTTTTCTAAAAAAAAAATTAAAAAATATTCTAATATTCCAATTTTAACAAATTAACAGTTAATTAATGTTTGGCAAACATTAATTTGAATTATTATGTAATAACTAATAATTATTGATTAAGGATGCATTTTAAAATATTTCTATAAGATTGCACAAATATTGAATGAACCAAAAAGATATATTCATATAAAATTATTCATTTATATTTTATATTATATTGATATGTTTCATATTGTTAATGGTTCGTTTAATACTTAATGATCTTGGTCAAAACCAAAAATTGGAATCAACCCGATGTCTGCAAAATATTGACATTATCTCCTTAAATAAGTTTTAATTATCTAAAGGAGACACAGGAAATTGTGTAATTTAGTTACTAGAGAGAGATTATTTAATAAAGTTAATATATTGTTTTATGTTAACGACAAAGTAAAGTTATATTTGAGATTTTCAGTAAATATAAGTTATATGTATATATTGTACATGTTTGAACTGAATCCTATTACAGTTTGTTAGTAATTATATCAAAGTAAGATGTAGTTGGTTGGCTATGATGACAATTGGCAAAAGACAGGTTGTTAAATAAAATAAGTTATTAATAAATAGGACAAAACTGATAGTATCGATAAATATGTCTATAAAAGCCACTCAAACACAATTGCCTTTTGTTAGTTTGACGTCAGTAGCTTCAGCTACAGACTAGTAGAAATAATACATCAGCATTTCCCTCTATGCTAATTAATATGTATTATGAATGAAATAAATAGAAATAAAAAGTGTATTATTTATAATCTTAAATTTATTAACACCAATAGCATGGGTGAGCTGTACTCAACAATGCTACATACCCCTCAATGTATTAAAAAATTTGTTACTCAATAATTATTCCAAAGTTGTTATCAACTTTTTAACATTTTTTGTGATATGGAATAAAAAATGGCTATTTTGAAATGTTGAAAAAATATAAAATTTTTATTTTTATTTCCTATTAGAGACAAATAATATAAAATTATTTTTAAAATAGCCCAAAGCTGTAAAAAATTTAAAAAAAGAAAAGTAATGAAAAATATTTGCTAGTTAAACAATTATTACAGAAAATAAACAAAACCTTTTAAGAAAAAATGTTATGTAAAATAATAAATATAACTGCTATTTAAATGATAAACAAAAAGGTCTATATACAACATAATTAGTATTTTATTTTATTTAAGTCAACATGTTAAACATTACATACATATTATTCAGTGTATAAATAAATAAAATAAATTCATGATGATAATTACAAATGAACTTAATGATAATAGTTACTATGTAAATATCATAAAAACTAATTTGGTATATTATTTAACATTAATCTAATTTTTCAGGTGGCTATGTATGAAAAATCATCCTAATAGAAATGAAAACGTATTTAAATGTGATGCGTCTAATAAAAATTTGTATCTATGTCTCCTGAAAGTTCATACAAGAAAAAATTTCAAATATGATTTTTGTAAATACTCATTTGTTAGATGTACAAAACTAATAAATCATTTATAGTCCATAAAGGAGAAAATCCTTATAAATGTGATATTTACCAACAGTCTTTTAATATTCAGGGTAACTTCATATGGCATTTATGTGTTCATACACGAGAAAAAGTATTCAAATGTCATATTTGACATAGCATATACTAATAACACTATTCTAAAATTTCATTTACTTCTTCATGCAGGTGAAAAACATACCATTGTAATATTTGTCAGAAAAATTTAGCTCAACTTGGTGACTTAGTATGCATATTTATACAGGAGAAAAACATTTATCAAATGCATTTATTACTAACAACTCGTAATCAACACAAATACATATACACTAAAAAAAAAACCTTTCAAATGTAATACTTATCAAAAAATATTGAAGAAATATATATATTTATAAATCTATAATCATCAAATAATAAATAGAGAATATAGAAGACCGACCAATCTTCATCAATAGTGTTCTCATTATAAGAATATTTATTTCGTTATTAGTGTATTTTGCATAATTATTACAAAAACCAGCCACTAAACTATTGTGTAGGAGATAAGATGCTATGTAACAATTTTTTGGATTTCATTTTTTTCTTTTTTACAGAATATTATTGTATTGAAAAACATTTTTTTGACTTTAAAATGAGAAAAATAATTCTATCACTTATAATAATTATATTAATATAGGATCCAGTAATTATACAATAATTGAAATACTTCCATTGTTTTTCTTCAATAGTATAATATTTTAAAATTGTATAGCACGTTATTTCCACCAAGAGTTCAATTATTGATTACTAATTTTAATAATTTTTACTATATTTTGATATGAATATTTTTATTATTATCTTGTTATATTCATATAAATAACTGAACTAGTTTAAACTGGTTTTAATGTTGTTATTTACCATTAATTTTCTATAATGCTAGCTAGTTAAATATATATGTTGCCATTTAAGTTAAAAATAATTCATGATTGATAAATCCTAAAATGTGAAACTTAAAAGAGCTTTAAAGAAAATTATTGATGTCAATAATTCGAGTAATTAAAGTTAAAGTATAATTACCATGTATTAACCATATAATTAACTTCTTTCTTTTTTTTTTAAGTTAAGTAATACCTTAAAGTTAAAATAAGTAATAGATTTCTAATTAAATTTGCATTTAGAAATTATAATATATAAGTATTTATGGTAATTTTATTACTTTTTAAAAGTAAATTCCCCAAGACTAAAATCCAATGTCTAAATTTATGATTTACAGTTAGTACAATATTTGTTTTGTTACTCAAAAATAGTAAATTGGATTCTTAGTACAATTGAAATATCTATCAAGCTCAATACTTTTTCAATAACTTTACATTCTGCAATCTCATAATTTCAACTATACTTTAATTTCTATAATTGAAATTTCTCAAAAAAAGTTTTTTGCAAACTTATTTTGATAGTGAAATATCTCTTTTTGTCCATATTGATAAAGAAAAATCCAGAAAGAAATGATAAAACAAAGAACATTAATATGTATGAATCCATTTTATAATAGTTAAAAAAAAATTATTTTTAAATCAAATTTAGGAAAATTTTCTCAATCTGAAAATGCTCAACCTAAAATATTTTCTGAGTTAAAACAGTATTTAATAACATAAATACAATTTTATTTGCTAATGTATTGATTTTTTAATAATTATAAACATGAGTAGATTGCTAAAAATATACTTTTTTAGCTGAAAATAGTTCTTTATTTCTATAAATAACTAGAAATTACACATATTATATTTCTGTCTTTGAAATTTGTACTAATGTACTAATTTGAAATTGAAATTTTATAAGTATACGGTATATTAAATTTTAACTTTTGCCTGTAAAGTTAACAGTGTAAACATATTAAAAATTAACTATCATAAGCCTTGTATAAGATAAAAATTAGGTATGCATTTCAGTAGATAATATTTCAAGTTTATACAATATGTATAGTTGACATAAAAAAATTATAGTTAATACTCCATCCATCTAACACGATATTATTTTTGATTTTTTCATTGACACATACTCAACATAAGAGCTGAATGAAAATAATCAAAGAAAACTTTAATTTGAACTTGTGAGACACTAATTGAAATTTAGTCTAGAAGACTAATAATAATTTTTGTGAGAAAAACTTAATTATCTTTTAATTAATATTTATTCTATGGAACAAAAAAAAATATTATAATCTATATTTTTTATTTGATTTATAAATTTAATTACTTCCAAATAACCTCATCAATTCCACCTTAATGTCTAATATGACATCATGTTTTCCCCCCGGGCGATAGAATAAACAAAAACGCATTCCAATAAATAAAATCCCTTTAAATGTAAAATAAGCCAAAGTAATTTATTAAAAGTTCTCATCTAAAATATCATCTTGCACGTTTTCATACTAAAAAAAAATAATTTAAATGTGAAGTTTTTCAAAAACCTTTGTTTTTCTAATTAACTAAAAAGTCTTACAAAAACTCATTAAAAAAAACCATTCCCATGTAATACTTGTCAGAAAACATTTTCCCAATGTTCTTGTATAATAGGACATTTACGTGATCATAATAGTGAAAACAGTTTACTTGTTTTGGTAGCTTACAAACATATTCATAGAGGAGAAAAACCATTTCAATGTGGTATTTGTAAAGAGACATTTGCTAATTGCAAAGTTCTAAAAAGATATAAACGTACACATACAAGTGAAAAACAACTAAAATGTGAATTTTGTGAAAGACTTACAAAAGGTAACCACAAATTATTTCACACATCTAGTACTAATTTATACTAATTGTTTCACAACTTTAGTACTAATTAATACTAATCATTTCACACCTTTAGTACTAATTTATACTAATTATTTCACACCTCTAGGACTAATTTATACTAATTGTTTCACACCTCTAGTACTAATTGCTAATTTTGGTATAGCTATTACTTTTTACTTCTCTAATATTTATATTGAAATCAAATAGATAAAATTTATTTATACTAATTCACTATAGATTTAAAAATTTTATAATTTTCAATAATTCTTATAATTTCTAACAAATTTTTATTTTTTGTGTGCATAATATTTATGAATGATTTGGCACTCCCCTTTGAAAAAATTCTGGATACTCGTCTACTAGATTATATAGTAAAAGATTTTGAGAAATGGTATGCACCTCAATATTTAGTAAACTATTGGTTTTTATGCTTAAGTTATAAGAAACAGAAATAATCATCTGACCTTGTTTATCAAATGTATACAGAGTGTTCAGTCAGTAAGTAAGTTATTACAAACAATTAGTACAATAGAAACTCGTTCATTTTCTTACTGAACATTCTATATAATTTAATAACAATATTTTCACTAATTAATTTTTAATAATCAAAAAAATAAAAACGATGAAAGTTGTATAAAATTTCAAGTTTTTTCAAATGTTTCACATTTTAATACAAAAATTGATTTTAAATTAAAAATAGATCACTACGCATCACTTCCCCATGTTTCACTATTATCTATAACATAATTAAGTTATTGAACTATGTGAATCTAATATCACAATATTTATTTTTTTTTTTTTGTTTATTTCATTACCTAATTAATTAACTTTATAATAAAATGTTTAACATTAAATTAATTAAATTTTTAAGACATATATATATATTAGTGCGTTTTAGATTTTAGCATTAACTTCCAACGCTTGTTTGGTATACCTGTTCCGCTTCCACATGAAAATGTCCAAAGTTATATAAGTGCGTAATGGGACTTTTCAATAGGAAACTTACAAATCTCTGAATATATTTAAATCTTACATAGAAAATTAATTTTATATAGTAAAATACGTGTTCGAATATCGATTGTCGATAATCATTTTGGTCAAATTAAGAATTAACGGTTTAACCATTTTAGTATTATTGTATCAACTTATATATAATAGTAACCGAGGAAACATTACACGAAACACTTATTTAATTTTCACCTAATGCCAACAACATTAAAAATATACGATAAGTGTAACTATCTATTCGTAACACGGCCATGAATAACTTAAAAAAGTATAGCGTTAATGTAAGGGAAGGTAATTGGGTGGAAGAAACCTTTCTACAAGGTGTAAGTAAAAATTAATCGCATTATCAAATAGTCTTAAAATCAATAATGTGATAAATGTCAAAAAGTTGATTTGAGATATACACAGTTTTATAAAATTCAATAGGCCCTAATACGTTATTTAGTAGATATTTTTTGATCTATTAAAATTATTTAAAACACAAAGCTCATGTTTTATATATTTTTTACTTTGGAACTTCTCTAGAATTTCCTTAATTTTTAGTTTTTTTGAACATAGTCCAATATTGATTTCAAGTCTTCAATTATACATACATTTTTATTTTAAAAAATTGTCTTTTATGATAAACAATAGGAAATTGTTAGATCTTTTTTAGAAAAAAAAGATAAAGGCGAACTTCTTATTCAGAAAACAAGGAAAATGTACGCAAGTCTTTTAAAACCTGTAAGTGTTTTAGAAAAGTTAATTATACATATTTTAACAAAAAATATATTGCAATTATAACAATTGCACTGTATATTAAAAATATACAATGTATTATAACTATTAGAAAGGAATGGATTTATAGTTATTCATAGATTGTTATTCCAAACACATCATCAGCCAGTAAAAATGTTTATTAATTGGCTTAAAAACATAGTATTGGGCTGTAAATGGACATATAAAATTAGGAAGATTAAAGGGATTTATTACCCCTAAAACAAAAAATATTTCTATGTTACTATACAGTATATCGTTATTTATTTTTTAATATCCTAAAAATTTAAGTTTTTTTTTATACCATGTTCAATATAATTCAATATAAAAATAAGCCATTCTATAAGAATTTTCGTGAAATTCTCATACAAAAAGGAAATTCAGTCAATATGTTTCAACTATAAAACCTTTAAAAATTTAAAATACAGAGTAATCTTGAAGTATAAACCACTATATTTGAAATATACTTAGTATTCAATACGTGTAAACTTTATAAAATATATAGTTAAATTTAGAGTCACCCAATTTTATAAAAAGGTTTAGAAATATACTTTTACATTTAAATTATGTTTTTCACTGTTTGAAATGCATTCTTTGTGTTCTAAAATAATTTTTTCATACCTTTTGATAAAATAAATTAAATATAATTGTTTTTTTTTTAATATAATATGTTTTAAACACACATTTTATGTTTGTTTTTACTGTTTATTTTGTTGTAATCAACAAGTTAAAAACACTGTTCAACTAATTTAATATATATTTTAAACCTTTTTTTTTTTCATTTATTGACAATTTATTCTAATAATTGATTTAATTTGATTTTTTTTAAGCCAGATAATCTTTTAGTCCTAACAGTATGTGTTTTATAATGTTTGTTTAGTATGTACTTATTATTACTGTATTTGAACCATTTTGGTGTATAATTTAATAAATAAGTAAAATATACAGAACATGTAAAATATTGGTTTATTCGATTTTACATAAAATTCTTAAGTCTGTAAAAAAATCCTGATATTAAATGCAACTAATGAGCTTTAGTGTTCTTTATTAAAATATGTATTTTCTAGTTTCACTGAAAAACAATAATTTTTTAAGTTGAATCTAATTGATTTTTTACTAGATGACATTAAGTTCAAGTAATGAGTATATAAAATATGGCGAATTTACTCAACTTATATGCCCTAATATTTTAAAAGTTTGCAAGTCCGGAGTTTCTCTTTCTTGCTCCGTTGGGGGAACAGCTCTAGATGAACAAGAATTAGGTTTAAGGTTCCTCTTGACTGGTTCACCATTCATCGAACCATGCGTTAGAAATTGTTTTAAAATATTAGGGTTAGTAAAACATAATCGTTCAATATTATGGTGACTTTTAAAACTATTTCTAAACAATGTATTATTTTTAATATTTTAATTTATGTTTTAAAAAAGTTTTGAGAGTGGATGTGATGATGGAAAACCTGTGAAGTTCGGAGACACATTTGCTATTACGCCTTGTGTTTCATCCAAAGTATGTATGCTTTACTTGTGCCTGATTTTAATAAAAAATTTAAGTAGATAATGTCTCATTAATATAAAACTAATATACAAATTGGTAAAATTGCTTTAGTTTCAGTTATAACTTAAATTTAGATTAAATATTGCAAACAAAAAATTTCAATTCCCGTATTGCTGAATAAACTCCAAAACTATTTTAAAAAATATTACAATTTTTACTTCTAATTATGTCATAAAAAGTGAAAGGAAACCTTAGGGGACGTTTGTACCTCGGAGTCTTAACACCATCAGTTCCAACTTTTTCGTTAATTCATTTGCTGCGTAAAATTAGGAAACTTATAATTTTCGAGGAATATCCGTTTTTCAATTAAATTTAACGGTTTGTTTTGATGTGTCTAAATTTGTATCGAACGTTAATATGTTTTTATAGCCTTTGTATGTTTGTGTTGAAATGCCACGTCTTAGTGTAGAACAAGGTTTATCCAATCATCCTGTTCTAAAACTGACGGATACCCTTGATGTATACTGTCGGTGGAGAGTAAACTATTGGAAAAAAAACCTACAAATGGAAGCAGAAGGATTACCTATTCCGGTATATAAAATAATTTATGAACATTTTCTAGAAAAATTCTTATCGCGATCAATCAAAGGAAGTCGATGGGAAAAGATGGGCGTATTGTTTTTTTTAATTACCGGTTATATTTGCCCTTGAAATCTCATTGCTACTGTTGCTATGTAAGGAAATAGCCGGTGAAGTTAGTTGACCTAAAGTAAAACCAGTTATTTTTACCAAACTCTTAGTACATATGAGTACACTTTAATCAAGATGATTCTAACGACTTGCCGTTTGTTCGTTCAGTTAATTTTTGATATTTTAACTATAAAAATAATACAATAAGAATTTTATAAAAAAGTCTTAATTCTAAAGTAATCCTAAATTATTTAGAACGGAACTTGTGTGCTACTCAATCACTCGTCTACTAACCAAAACGTTGCTGTTGAAACAAAATTCTTGTTAGATACGTTTTTTGGTAAAGTAAGTCGTTAACACAGTTTATTTTGATGTATATTTAATATAATTTGGATATAACTTTAAATATGTTTTTAGAAAATATAAGAACAATTTTTATAGTTTAATGGCTTAGTGAATAATTCACATTAGAAATTTTTTTTAGGAGAAAATGTTCATAAATAGCAATGATATATTTCTATATTGAATATAAGTTGAAACGATGGATATAATAAAAGTGCAAACATTTTTACAGAATTAAAAAAAATATTAAAATAAAAAAAAATAATATATTATTTTAATCGTTAAAAAATTTCAATTTATAAGAAATAAATCTATAATATATAAAAGTACAAAACAAAATATTTAGAAATTTGCTATCAACGTTTATTTTTTATAATAGAATGATTTATTATTGAATAATTTTGTTGTTATTACTTTTTGTGTTCAGTTGTACATCAGTAAAAGTTATTAAATGTAGTATGTATTCGTTTCAAATAAGTTTAAATTTCTGAGCTGTCTTTTGATTTTAATACAAAGCCGTTTTTTAACATTCAAATAACAACATTCCCAAGCAATCTCAAGTTATACGCTTGAAAACATCAAAAAACTAGTTTCTTGCATAGTAAAATTTATAACGGAACTATTAAATGTCAGTTGAAATAAGATAAAAACTGACTATAAGTTGTAGAGATCGTAAGACAGGAATGCTAAATTCAATCATGACATTTAATGAAGTTTAATGTAAATTTGGCAAATCTTAATTTCACTGCGATTTTTTAATTTTTATTCAATTTCAACAATTAATTATTTTCAAGTATCTTTTAATAATTTGCTGTGTTAATGTTATTTTAGTATCTAACGTAATAATTGTTTGAATTTACATTATAATTTTTTTGAAAAAAAATTCACTGCATTAGTTTTAAATTAATTAATTTTCAGTAATAGTACATTCTATAGCGAATTAATTAATTATTATTGTTATTATTTAAACTCGACTAAAATATTGTTAGTAGATACTAATATTTGGCGATACCTTTTTTAGGAATATGAAGTAACTGCTCATTCTTACAAAGGCATTAGAGGATGTGATAAACCAGAGAACTTGTGGCAGTTTATTACATCTAGTCACCCGACAAAAGATATTCAAAAAACAAACATCAAGTCTTGATATTTAATCAATTTTATTGTAAATTTGAAAATAACACAACAAACACACAATTTTTACAAAAGATTTTTTTTTATAGGCGTTTAAGGTATAAAAAGTATTTTTAAATATACAATATAAATAATTTATATCAAATAAATAGGTAATGTATAAATATATTATAAACATAAAAAAGGAAAATGACAAAAAGTCAATTAAAAATCGGTAAAATAATCATAATTCGTTTGATTTCCAATTTTTGTTAAATTTTGAACAGGTTTGAAATTTAGATATTTTTTATAACACTATTTTAGAGGAGTTATTAGTATAAAACGTTTATTAAGTACCCATTTTAAATATATTTAGGTTATATAGAAAACGCATGCAAAAAATTGAGCTTAAAAAATGTTTATATGATAAGTCAGTTGAGAGAACGTGAGTATCAAAAAAGACAATTTGCAAGTATTTATAGTAATTTTAGTTATAAATTCAGTCTTATCGATGCTCTCTGGCAGCTCCCTCATTATGTGAAATAAATAAAATAGCTAATGAAAAATTTGCATTTCACAAAAAAGTCTTAACAATAATTGTGTTCTTATAAATACTTTTAACTATAATTCATATTGTATCATCTTATTTGTACACTGTACAAAAAATTCCTTTGGCTTCAATAAATAGAGAATATTATTTGTTCTTTACGTTTTTTCGGTTAAACATGTTATTGTATGTATTTTAACAAATCAAAAATGGTTGTTTATCGAAATTCTGTTAAAAATATAAATACATTATTATAAGCTCATTTTTTTCATGTCATTGGTGTATTTTATACTCACACGTAGTCAGTTTGCTCTGCAATATAGGTGATAGAATCTCTTCTAGGCTGGCTGAAGATCTCAGTTCTGCAGTTGACAAACGGTCAACCTAAAAATAAATACCATTAATTTACGGTACAGTCTAGCAAGAACAACTATAGCGCAAGTTTTTTCAACTTAGTAGTCTATCTACTTCACTATACCTAATTACAAACCGTATATCTTTACAAGAAAAATCAAATAAATTATATCGATTCCAACTGTTCAATAACAATTACATATTTTATTAATTTAAAACAAATAAATAATAAAATAATAGCGTTTACTTAAGTAGAGTAAAATACTAGTATGTAGTTAAACCTATTTGATATAATAATAATATATTTAATTATACTTACATGGTTGTGCTGCGGTGAAAAATAGGTCGGACCTCTAAATGATCTGAGACTTGATCGATTAATCAATTCACCATTATGCATTGATCCATTGTACAAAGGTCCATTGTCCCATTGTGGTCGTTTTCGATCACCGGGCCAAGGTATTATACCATTAGGTGTATTAGCATGTTGACCAAGCACTCCACTTTCGAACGACTTGCTATTTTTAATAGAAACTTTAGTACTATCGACATCCGGCGTATTGTTTCTGTTAGAGTCCACCATCGTACCATTCCTGTAAGGGGTATCTGGGTTGTTATTGTTCCGGTTTTGGTAATTCACTTGATTTATGTTCTTCAAGCCGTAACTACTAACGGGGTAAATACGATCTGGTATACATTGCCATGGTGTTCCAACGGTACCGCGAATCTCTTGACTAGACCACGATCCCTTAGGAGTACCATTGTTTATACCGCCGTTACTGCTATTTGAACAAAAAATTTACTTTAAAACTGTTACCAATTTTTTATGATAAACAGAGGCGTCATTTCAGATTTTACAAGAATAAAGCCAATATTTAACTGGACTGCCATTTTGACGATAATAAATAAATAATTTTTAATGAAATGACTGTGAAGGACTTTATCATAAGAAATTTATATTCAATGTTTCATTTTTATTATACAGGTAGCACAGATTTAACTGATATCTCTTATAACTTTTAATATAATTAACATTCCATTGTAATTTTTTAAATAATTCATGTATTCATAGACTACGTTAAAATCATATTTTAACATATTTTTTTATAAATTTAAAAATAGCTAGTCTTAATCACTTTTCTTATAAAAATAGTTAATGAGTCAATAACAGTTTTACGATATATTGTGAGTAACTAAGGTAAAAACATTACAAACAAAATAATCAGAGAACCTTTTCTTTTATTTTGAGGCCGTTTGAAATATATCTCGAAAATCTATAAGAGATTTTTGTATTTAACTGTTAAGTAAAAAACTGCGTTGTATCTGATTATGTTGACAAAAAGAGAGCAGTTAAATCGGGCTTCTTTTGTATTTTAAATGATTAAATATGAAATATTGAGTCTTTTTTCATTAAATAAAAATTAATTTCCGCTACAATTCTTAGATGTGTCCAATCGTCAAACATGCGAATTGAGACACCAGTCCCAGTTTTTATTAAAAATTTTACTGGGGTAAATGCCCAAATTGCTACCCACCAAATGAAATCATAGATTATAATTATTATAAAATAGAATACATTTGATTTTAAATGATAATTTACCTATTAGTAGATCTTGTTGGAGCGTATGTGATATCTCTCATCATATTTTCCGTTTTTTTATTGTAGATATTGTCTTTTTGCTCGAGATCGAATAACCTGATAAATATAAAAATAATTTGTTAAAACTTTTACATCAAAATATAAAATAAACGTACCATCTTGAATGATTCATGGGATTTCGTTGGTCATGACTAGAATAATTACTCTTCCCGAGTAATGTTGAAGGGTTATTAAATAAAGCAGAACACATGTTTTTACTTAAATCATTTGCTCTTATCATTGGGTTAGATGGAAGCCTGAAAAATACATGTGTTATTATATTAATCATAACATATATATTATTGCTATTCAATTAAGTACTTATTTTTGAGTTTTTCAGATCAAAAAATTTCAAGTTAACACAATCAAATTCAACTTTTCGTGTTAAATAAAAGAATCATAAAATATGTTTTTTGTTGAACTGATCACAAAATTAAAAATGCAAATGTTTATTTATTTTGAACTCCTTACTGCCATCATCCTTTTATACTTCTAATAATGTAAAATATTTTTTGGAAAAATTTAAAATGAAATTAATATATTGTATTACACAACGAATATTACAAAAATATCATTTATATAAAAGTTGTGGAACAAATATGATAGAAATTCTATTAAGATATGATAATATAGTCAATAATTTGATTGTAATCAGATCCCAGAATATATATATTTAAAAAATTTTGTTAAGTTATTCCAAACGTCATCAACTAAAACAAATTTTTTTTAATTGACTTGAAAACTTAGTAGTGTTGTTAACGAGATTATATTTTTAAAAGAATTATGAAAATATATCCCTCCTATAACCAAAAATATTTCAACGCTACAATATATTCGTACACCTAATATTAACTAATATAGTAAGCTGTATAAATACTTTTTGAGTTACTATAATTTTCAGTTATACATGAAAGGGGTGCGCAACGTAGAATAATTCTTATCTGTAAATTATGAAAAAAATACAGCGTCTTAAAACACTAACGCACTTCACATTTTTTCGAAATCATTAAATGCTAATATTTTAAACAGTAATGTTACAACAATACGCTATCGACCAATCAAAATTTTAGTTAGGCTATTTTACATTCAATAATAAAATAATCATTTAATTTTTAAAAGTTACTTCAAAATCTACTTTTGGAAATAATTTTTACTTACAATAAACTTGATATATATAATAAAAAATTATCACTTGTGGCTAATATTATTTATAATTAAAAATATATTAAAATATTATTATTAAACATAAAAATAGAGGGTAGTATTAATGAACATTTTTTTTTTATGTGTAACGATTGTTAATATTAATACTAGAAATAATTTGTATGAATTAATTTAGTTAAAAATATAGTCCAATTATGAGATATTTCTAAAAAATATTATATATAGTAAATTTTTTTTTTTAATTGAAATGTTTACATAACTTATGAAAACGGTTAAAGTATCAACATTATAATACGGATGATTCATTTAACGCTGGGCACTCGATTTCTCTTAAAATAATAATGCTAACATAATTATGTTAACAAAATTATTTTTGGTATTTTTTAGTAACAAATTTTTTAAGATGATGTAATCAAATTTTGAGCCAATACTGCGAAATTTATTGAGATTTTTATACCTAGACAAGAGAAAAGATGGGAAGAAAAACGATAAATATTGATTAAGAAAAATTATTAACCCACACATCATCTCCAGTTTATAATTAAAAATAATAACTTCCAAAATAATGGGTCTATAATTATTATTGACCAGCCATTTTCTATATTATAAGCTAGTTAATTCGTATGTTTCCATCAAAAAATTAAGTTTGCTTCTTTATAAGATATATGGAATAAATTATAAAAGTAATTAAAAAATGAAATATCCAGGAAAATTTGAAACTAAAAAACTCGAAAAAAATTATCTTTATTATAACTATTATTTCATGAAAAGTCGTAGATTAAAGAAGGAGAAGAGAAACTAATTGAGAATTATAGAATGTAGGATAACATTAACATTCCGAAAATGAAATATAATAATATATATATATATTATAGATATTGTGTGAATTAACCAAATGAGAGTTAAATGATCACTTTATAAAAAAAAAATATGCACATATTTTTACAGAGAAGAAATATTATTCTTTTGATCTTCTCAAATTACAATTCTATTAGGATACAAGTTTATTAAAAAAAAAACACTCCAATGTTTTCTCCGTAGTTAAATTTTAGCGTAAAATGAGTAAATTAAGGCGTTTAAATGTTAAATATTAAATATGTTTAAAAAAAATCGTGTATTATATTTTTATTTTATAATATTTTCAAAACTATTGAATCTATTGATAATTGTATGATTGTAATCATAACAGAGTTTCTTCTATTATCTAGTGTTATATTCAGAAACAGTGTAATATATTTAAAATTAATATTTTTAATATAATTTTAATTTTAAATGATGTTAGCCACAAGTGATCGAATTTACTATGCAGTGTAATAATATAGATGTACAATTTTTATTAAAACTTATTGTACAAATTGAAAAAAAAACAAATTTATTATCAAAAATTACACGTGAAAAAATGATTAGGATGACAAAGCTCTAATTTTTCAGTTTACGATTATAATAATAGCTGTAAAAATATAAGAAGTAAAAATCCAAATACTAACGGAGCATTAAGTAAAAAATAATAATATTACTTTAATCATTTTTAAATATATTATATAATATTTTTTATTATAAATTATGTGAAAAATAACTATTAATTAGTAACAAATAAATATAAAAAAAATTAGAAAAATTGTATTATTACTTTATATTGGAGTTTTTTAAACAAATATTTAAAATATATAATAAGATCAATGTAATTTTTTTAATTTTTGGTGTTTTAAATATGTTTAAAACATTATTTTAAATAATATGTGTTTAAAACATAACAACCCTGCTCTAGTTACAATTAGATAAAAATTACAATTAATTTATTTAAATTGTTACCTATGCGTATCATTATTGTAATACTTCTTACTTATTTTTCAAGTTTAAATTATTAAGTATTAACTATTTTTTTTTAATTTTAGTTTAAATACATTTATCTATATACTTCCTGTAATAAATTTTTATTGATAATTTATTAATAATTTCCATTAAAATTGTATGCCACAAACAATATTTATTGCTTCATATAGATAAAGATTTTTTAATTTTCTGTTTTATAGAAATTTTCCGAATAAAGATTAAATTCATAAAGTTATTGTAAAATTATGAAATATGGGTAGTTTAAATAAAAATATACTTATTGACATATTTTAATTATACACTCCGGTTCCCAATATTCCCCAAAGTAATATACTTCAGACCAATTTCAGGGAGGTTTTCTATTAAATAGAGAAAAAAATTCCAAAATTAATATCCAATGTCTAAATATTAGTTATTTATTGAATTTTCAAAGAAGTTGGTAACAGCTTAATTTGTAGCAAGGAAAATATCACATACAATTTTTAAAAATTTATTGACATATTTTTGCAGATTAAAGGTAATTAAATTTAGTTTTAATGTTCCGCTACCTTTTTTCTACTCAAATGCGCTTAATTTCAATATTATTCTCATTCATTCTACCATAAGTAGTATTTGGAAAAAGAGAATATTGAGGATAAATTACAAATTAAAAAAATATATAAATACCTAATTAATTATTTTAGTATTAAAACATTTTGAGAATCTAGCTTGTTAGATAATAAATCCATTTTTGAAAATAATTTTTTAAGGTTAAATATTATCATTATATAAGTTATTTATATAACTTATAAAATATAATTCATAAGTATTTAATCTACAAGATATTTCAATTTTTTTTCTTTATAATTTTAAAATAGAATTTTCACCATGATATTTCAGTGTTAACTACATTTTAAGACAGTTCTTAATAAAATTAAAAAAATAAATAAACTATAAAAAAATTCAAATGAAAAATCCATTTTCAGTTGATGTTAACACTTCGTACCTTGGTAACTGATTTGCACTTTTAGAACTTGGAATGGGATTCATTGCAGCAGGTCCTTCACTATAGGGTGGAGGAGGACTATCGCCATTTTCGTGTACGGTTGTTTCTTTTAGCGAACAGCTATAATTAAAAGAACATTAAAAATATGTGTTTAAATAGTTTTAATTTTTACTAAATTATTCATACGACATTTTACCTCTTGGCTCTCCTTGAAGAATATGATTTTCGTTTAGATGACAAAGGGGGTGAGTTCGATTTAATTGATGTTTTTACTGCTGTATATGGTATTTCTCTCAGCTGCTCTTCAGTCATTCCTTCAGTATCGACTAATTTAAATTCCAAATGTTTTTTGAGTTCCTCGGATAGGTGAGTTTTACTTTCTGATGGTGACCTGGAGCGAGACCTACACAAATAATTTAAAATAATTTAAATCTATAATCAGTTAATTAAATTCATACTTAAAATACATGGCATACAAATACATAAACTTTTTATAATTTTTTTCACAAAAATGTTTGTTCAACTGGTAAAAACACAATTTTTGGCTGTATATTAACAACAAAAATGTTACTAGGTTTATTGAGAGAATTATCATCATTACGAGTATTACCCTTAAATGTCGTACCTGTTTTTTCGATGCTTTCTTCTTCTATATGACGACGAGTGATGTGATATCTCACTCTCAGATTCCAAGCCACTATTGGCATAACCTGAACGTGGTCGAACAACAGACGCTTTTTGTATTACTGATCTACCTTCAGCTTGACGTTTTTGCACTTCACGCCATTGACCCTCTGAATCGACCAACTGATACCTATGTCGTCTATGATCATAATCTTCACCACCTGAAGATTTGCGACTCCGGTGCCTGTGCCGTCGATGAGATTTACTACCTGACCTACTAGACTGCTCACTTTCGTTGTCCGACGACTTTCGATTTCTATGTCTGTGTCTAAAAATTTATAATTACTTTTTAAATAGTTGTTAACTTTAATAATTAAATTTATATAGAAAAATATCTGATAGAATAATTTATAAAAATAATTGCAGACGATAAAAGTCATACGGTGAACGTATACAGGTAAATTATTACTATCAGATACTATAATGTAATATACTTCGAAAGTGTTTTTTCTTATAAAAAATAATTTAAAGTTACCCCGAAAGATACTAACTTTGAATGTAGAAATTTTAAATGACAACGCTTTTCATAAAAATATGAACAATAGGTATTAGGATTCTAAATAGATGTCAAAAAAAATCTCATAAGCTATAATTTATAATATAAACCAAAAATACTTTTATAAACTAATATTATCAAATAACCATTACAGCCTCCATCAATGGGGAGGTTTTTAATCAATCTGAATTCGAGACGAGTAATTAGTCCGTAGCCAAAAAGAAAAATGGCGACTTTAATTACTGAACTGATATTTAGCTTAGCTAACGAAGCCACCCGATTCGACCACACCGTCACTTAATTTTTTTTTATTTTGTAAGTAATTTGGTTTTGTTTTAAACTAAATTGATAATTCATATTTATGAATTGATTATTTCTAAATACTTTTTAAATATTATTAAAGCGTACATAATAATATTATATAATAATAATACAATAGATTAATCTCTCTTACTTCCGACAAGATTTTGAGTCATTTGAGCTTTGACTGTCTACACTAGAAGATCGACGTGCATGTCGCATGATCTGATGAGGTCCTGACCTTACACTTCTTGGTGATCCGCTTGAATATAGTCCTCTAGAAGGAGCACTTGACCAAACACCCCATGGTGCACTCCTGGTACTTCGTGGTGAATCACTCCGTTGAGGTATGTACATACTGATTAATAAAATATCAGATTAATTTTGAACTTAGTAAAAAATAAATATTAATACATACGTGTGCACAGGCAACTGAGGATTTGAACCATTTTTTAACTTGTCTTGAGACTTTAACGAATCTAATTTAGTTTCTTTAAAATTGTCTTGATCTACAATAATAAACAGATGCTAATAATTATAAAACTTCCTATGCTATAATTTTAAGTAAAATTGAGTTAACATCTCTATCAGATTTCAAAATTATGATTTCATTATCAACTTAAAAAGTTTCATAATTTCAATAATTGTTAAATCAACAAAAACTTATAATAATTCAGTAGTAAGATAAAATTTTTTTACAACTTTATTTTTTAAAATAGAAACTAGATTTTTCAATACTTTTTATGATAGTTTTTGAGTACTTTTTAAGATTATATTTATCTTTATACTTACCCAAGTATCTTTTCTCCTTTATACAAATACGTAGTATAGAAGTTATTCAATAAAAAACAGTATTACCTAAGACAATTAATAACAGAGCGAACCTCAATGTTTAACAAAAACTTCATTATTTTGTTTACCCGACTAAATTACATGCAATAATGTAAAGGTATTAATTACTAATTAACTATAGAAATACATTTATTGTAAACAATGGAAAACAATTAGAAGATTCCTTTAAGCATACGAATTTATCTCGAGTATTTATTTAATCTCCCAAATATGTTAACATTATTCATTTAGCTTTATTGCTTCAATATATTTAATTATTAGGAAAACTACTCCGACCCTAATGAGTCGAAACCATTATATGTAATGTTCTTACAATAATTTGTTTCAAGCTAATGAAACCAATAATGTTCAAAAGCTAATTCAAAATTATACTTATGAATACATTTTCTATTTCAAATTTATTTGTTGTTGTCTTTAACATTATAACATTGTTTTTTAAAAATGGTATTAGGATAAATAAGCCACTAAAATATTGCATTTTCTATTTATACGAACCTGTCGTAAAACCCTTAAAATATAAGGAAAACACTTTGAAATCCAAAACATTTTTTACACGTATTTATGCATCAAATTAGCAGCGAAGAAGTAAAGACTCGCGATTTTGCCTACTACTAAGTTTCAACAGTTATTAAAATACAACTACGAAATAAGAGAAGACTTTTATATTCAGAATTGAAACAGTAACATATCAAATTACTTCAAAAAGCATTCTTCATAAGTCTAGTAATTACTTTTTTTTATATGTTAGCGAACTTTGGAAGTACTATTATCACTTTTATATATTAATTACAACGTCTACTGTTAATTTTCTTCATTCTACTATACATCAAAAATTTTTTGAAAATATAAAGATGGTTTAAAAATTTTTCTTAAATTAATAATGTTACTTAAAAATAAAATATCATAACAATTTCAAAACGCTTTGGTTAAATAATATTCGTTTTAATATTTTTAGTTGATCTTTAGAAATTCGAAGGAGTTTTGCAAAATATACTTTTTTGAAATTTATAAATTTAAAATAAAACATTTATGCCTGAATTATTTAAAATACATCCATAAAATGACTATCAAATTTAAAACTTACTGTCACTAGATCCTTCAACAATACGCCTTTGATATCGACGACTTGGAGTTCTGGTGAACGACGGAGGAATCCTTCCACTCATCTGTGAACTTCTCACTGATGATTTGTCTGCTCGGCCACTATAAGAATATTCATATAAAATGTAATAATTAATTTTAAATTAAGTTAAAACAGATAATATTCAATGATCGAACATTAAACAATTAAACAATGTTTTTTATACATTTATTAATTACCAACCTGCTAAATCGAGTATTTATTACATCTGGAGGATTAGGAGATACTTGAACTAATCTGAAAAAAGAATGGTGTTCCATGCTGCACTTGTATAAGTGTTTACAGGCAGGTCTTGATGGTGTTTCAAATCCGTATGTATTTTCATCGTTCTTTAATAAAATGAAAACAATCAAGTGTTTATGATTTTGAATTTCAACAACCGACTATTAAAAATTTTAAATAAAAAAATCTTACATTTTTATCACAAACTCGCAACATGAAGTATTTTCCTTTGCTAAAAATCTTAGTAATTCTTGGCCTACGAATGAAATAACATAATTATAGTGTACAGATTTTGTTAACAGTTTTTTAAATGAAGCGAATTTGATACTTGCCAATAATAGTTAGCTACAATGTTTTTGTTTCTTAGCACAATTACTCCAGTAGGTGTCAAACCCAAATAATATTCTACATTGTCTTCTCCCTAAAATATATATGTATTGTTATAAACGGCCACAATACATTAAAGGTGTTAAAATAATATATAATTAAAAATACGTATTATTAAATCACATCACTTCTTATCTCATAAAAAGATAAGATATAGAACAGGTATTTGTTTACAAGTTTTTTTTTAGTAAATAATTTTTATTTATAATTTAAAAATCAGGTATAATTACTGGTAATTTACGAATAATTTAACGAGACCTAATAAAATACGACTTATATACACGTCTTATATGATGTAATTAAACTATATCTACGTTATAGATTGACGTTCCTCATCTGTATGATTAAAAAAAAACTAATGTTTCATTTAGGTTATTTGATAAATTAATTTTTTATATATGTGTAAGAGTTGTGAAAAAAAAACATGTTTTTAAAAATTGTAATTTTAACTATTCATTTATTTTACTAAAAGAACTCTTAATCATTTGTTTTATACTATCAAATATTACAACTAAAACTATTTTTTATTTTCATTATTTATATTTTATTCATTTTTTTAAGTATAAAAGTTAAAAATATGCAACATTTAACTATAATCATATATAAAAAAAAATTGATCAATTTTGGTTAATATTGTGTAAGATAATATATAGCATTTAATCCATCTTGAATTAATTTTAATAATGTAGATTGTTACTTGTTTGATTTATATTGAATAATAAAAATAGATAGTTTAATAATGAAAAGCAAAGATTTGAAAAATTGATACCCGAATCAATGTTGCATAAAATATAGTAGCTATTATATTAATGATTTATGTACAAATCGAGTAAAAACTAATATATAATAGAGTTGCGGGGGCAATTCATATTTGGTGACTTAGTAGTAGAATGACGAAATGTGAAAAGCATCCATCGGCTATAAACTACTTGTCATCATTTGTTCAGAATCAATTGATTAACGAGTTTCTTATCTATAGCGCTCTAAAATAGAAAGTTATCTCTCATAGCGTGAGTATACATCTTTGAAAAACATTATATTTTTTATTTATGTTTTTTTTGAAGAATCATAAAATTGACGTTACTTATAAATTTAACTATTAGGGTGCAATGTATTTTTTTCACTGAATATCTGTTAATTAAGGATAATGGTCAATAATAGTAGAGTTTATAAAACACCTTCTTAAAAATAACAAAATTTAAACATTTTCAACAGAATTAATACGATTTAGTTTTCATCCCAATGAGTTCTCAAAAAAATCTATCCAGATACTATCATAATATAGTTCAATGATTAATCAAATTATAACGACCATTTATTATGTAATTCAGTTAATACATAGACAAAAAACACTATTAATATGTTACTATTTTTATTAAATACATAATCATTGGTTGTTTAAAATATAACTAAAACATGATTTATAGTGTTCTCAACTAGTATTTAGACATTTTGGAAACTGATGTTTTCCGTGACTGATACAAATAATTGGTAAAATTTTGCACGATTTCCAATAAGCAATAATAAAACTATCTATCAGAATATTTCAAAAAGGACTTAAATAGTACATTTTTTTTTTTCGTTCAGTTGAACTATTTGCATTGATTTATCTTAACGAATAGATAAAAATAAATACTCGATAGGCTTACTGAAACATTTTTATGCAATATATGATCACTTTATTTTTAGAGTATATTGGCTTAAACAAAGTTTTTGAATAATTTTCTTTTATTTCTACGTTTTCAATAAAGTATATTGTGTTGGTTTTCCCCTCATTTTCCACCAGCTATAGTCATTGTCTTCCTTTTTTCATTCTTTCAACCGTTATATAACCTAGCCGTGATGGCTGCGTAATATAAAAAATGACTGACTTGTATGTCCACGCATAAACAAATACACAGTAAAACAATACCAAACCTTTTTCTCATTTCCCTACTACGTCGATAGATTTCACTACCAACTCATTCAACACAGTGTATAACCTTTGCTGACTGCATTGTATATGTAGTACATAATATAATAAATGCATAAGAATATGTACATTAAATATTCGCGAGTAAATAAAATGTACATTTTCCAATTATGCTATTTTACTGGAAAAGACAATAATGCACTATCATGATGCAATTAATTAAAATAATGTAATTTATAAAATAGTTAGTTGTTATGAAAAATAATTAGGTCAATTTATAAAACTATACACATATCATACCAAAGAAAACTATTTAAAAAAACATTTTTCGATCAAAATATTAGTTTTGAATTTTTAATATAATTTTTAGTATATTTTAAGAACAGTTTGGTAAGGCATAATAAATAACTAATAAAATAAGAAAAAGAGGTAAAACAAAAAGAAATTCATTACAAAAACTCTTTGTTTAGTAGTATATTGTTTTTAGTGCAAATAAAATATTAGGCGTTGTACAACTACTATTTATTTGCCACAGGCGTCATTTTTGGACTTTTATCATAATAAAATTTAAAGGGTTATGTATGGGTACAAATAACTGGTGAAAATGCATTAATTTAGTTTTAAATATCAACAATAAATATTACCTTATAACAACATGTTATTATATATTTCATATTACTGTGGCAAAAAGCTTGTCTGGTCTCAAATCATTTGGTGATAATTATGATATAATACATTTGTTAAAAGTTATTATTCAATATTATTTGGGTAAATATGGCAGAAAATTGTAGTTAATATAAATAATATAACAATTAGTGAATACGAACGAAATATAAATGAAATGCAATTGTTTCAAGTTTCGAAATAGTAGCAAACTAATTTTTTTGGTAAATACATTATAGTCAAAAAGGATATTAAGAAGTCATTAAGTTTTAGGACCAAAATGACTAGTAACTTTAAAAGAAAAAAGTAGTAAAGCTCTGTTTGGAATAATTGGAACTTTTTTATCGGGGTAACACAATAATAAAAGTTCAGTTTCTGGAGATTAAATTAATTGAAGGAAATGCAACGTCAACTTTGTTTGTTTGTATACAATTAGGATTGAACATTGATGAATAGTAAGGGAAAAATCTTAGTCGCTAATACTTTCGATTAGATACATGTATTATTGCTTTTTATGTATACATTGCAATTACAATTTTAAGTATATTATAAATGCATTAAAAATTCTCCAATTAAGTATTTTCTCTTTTTCCAATAAAAAATTTATTCAAAAAAAATGTCAAAAATGTATTTCATTTTTTGAAAAAACGCTTATTTTTTCTAATTTTTAATTATAAATAAAAATAAAAATATGAAGTCTTATTTGCAATTTTAAGTTCTAAATTTATTTAAATTAATGTTTTTTTTAAATTAATTTTAGTACATTATTCTAACGAGGAGTTGTATTAAGAATTATAAGAAATGATAACTAAGTTCAGTGCACTTTATTTTTAAAATTGTTATACTACCAATTTAAATTAATTGTACTAAGCCTTAAACTTACTAAAACCGGATGCAGGTCAACTCCATACATGTCTAGCCATTTAACTTTATCCAAGAAATTCAATTCTGCAACAGCAGGTACTTGACCCCTAAAAATCAATATTTTATTCTTTAAGTGGTAATACTAAATATAAGTAATATTAACACTAACGATAACTCTTTATGTATTTCTGCGATTCGGTTTTCAAGCTCAGCGTTTTGATTTGAAACAAATCGGAATTCCGATACATACCCATTTGTATGTCTTCTAGGGTCGTAATCGCCAAGCTCCGCTGTAACAATCAAACGTATAAATAATTATTAATTTTAACTTCATATGCTTTATAGCTAAACAAGGTATTACAATCAGTTACAATTAATACAATAAATTATTCATTTAGGATGAAATATTAAAACACAACTCTGATTAACAACTGATATGATGAATATTCAAAATCAATACTATTGGGATATTTCATATCATAATTAATATTTTACTTAAAAAATTATAACCGAATAAATATAGTAGAACTTTTGAACATAAAATTAATATGTACGTTCATTAGAAAAATAAAATCCCGATTTTGAACAAATTTAACCAAATCAATTCACATAAATAATTAAATAAAATACTACTTATATTAAAAAACAAAACATCGCGATGATGGTTACTTTATAAATAAACAAATTTGTTTTAAAAAATGTATGTTGTAATTTTATGTTAATTCTATAAAGAAATTTGTTAATACCTTTTGTGTTGGGTACAATAGATCAAATTAAAATTTGTAATGAGATAGAATTTTATACCCACTCGTCGTATCCAAGAAAGTTCATTGCAACAAACATAGAGTATAAACTAAACTAAGTACTAAATACTAAGAGTTCTCTAGTCGGCGGCTCACTCGCGTGGAAATATTAATGTACTTTTTCCTAATAAGCACCTCACTTTAAAATATTTATGGTTTTAGGCTCGGTTTGATCTTTATTGCTTCCCATTTACATTTACAAAAAATAACACTAACGCCCGACCCCCTTAACAATAATATACGACCGGGACTTGCAAACAGCGCAGATTTACATTGTATTTGTACACACGAGCTGCCCAGTCGTTAGGACCATTGGGTATTCCGTGAGTTGTGCAGATGCGAGTAACATTATTACTATCAAATGAAAATCACTGGAAATCTGTCCATGCTATTTTTGTCGCAACGTTTTCAAAAATCCCTCTGTTTATGAAAAAAATGAATAATATTAGCCACATGCACATAAATTAATAACTGGAATTTTTTTTTAATATTTAACCATTTCAAAGGTGCATGATCATGTTCTTGGCGTAGTACCAAATTGATATTTATTATTTTTAAAAAACACACTGGGCGCATGTGATATACGTTTGTTATCTGCACACCCAAGTACAAGTTGACTGAAACGCGACGTTCCGATTCGTTCAAATTAATTTTCACTACCAAGAAGACCGACCAAAGGTGGTGGTAAAGTCCCATTAAAACTTCATAATACCGGATTTACACTTTCACTTGCTTTAAATGAAATTTATGGCTACGAAAAAATCGCGCGCAATATATAAATAAAAAACTTACTACAAAAACATCTATCCCCAGTTTTAAAGAGCCAAAATATTTTGTTACTAAATAAGTTTTTTGTTGTTTACCAAATTAATTCTTGTCAAAGAGTGTATCTTTTTCAACATTGTGTAAAAAACATGTCCACGTAACGACTCGGTGATCTAAGAGCTTATATATTCGATTACGTACTCGTTCCCCAATGTAAATGAGTCTACTAGTTTGATTTAATTTAGCTGAAAACTAATTAAAACTCATAAAATACGCTTTTGTCAATCTTTGTAATTATTTTAGGATGCCCACAAAATTCATACACTTTGAACGTGTTCCAAAAAAGATTTCATTAAGCGCTTTAAGGAATTATAAGCTCTAATTGTATTAATAAATCGTGTTCCTTATTAGGGGAGTATTCAATCTAAAAGATTAAATTTATTATTTTTTATATTTAATTTTTTTTGTTTTAACTTGCCTTTATTTAAATTTTAAAATACAATCAATTCTTACATAAATTAGTAATAATTCGATTAAATATGACTATTTTTAAGTATTAAAAAAATTAAAGTCAAAAGTTAATTCATTGTTTGAAAGCTTATAGATTTTTATTGTAAATACAATATTAAACTTTAAAAAGATAAGTTAGATAGGACGTTTTGTAACCAAACAAACTGTATGGAGCTCCTCGACATAACAGTTACCTAAGAATAATGAAATAATGTAAGTGGAAATTGTGTTGTTCTCATACAAATAAACAGTGCAAGTGTTGTTTGAGAAGTCGCACAAGGTCCAGTGGTTCTAATCCTCAACGTAGTAAAATTGCCTATAGGAAACGCCGGACCTTCTTGTAGACCAATATACTTATTTTCGTACGAGTAACGTATTTACCGTTCACAAACCTTTTAGGGAAGAAGACTCGCAGAATTAATTTAGTCCAAACAACGATTTATCACTTATATAATGTATATTTAGAGTTTCAACAGTTCAATGATATATCGACTTCGTTTTGGTAATTTACCCTTCGAAAGGCAGCTATTTAAACTGACTTTATTAAACCTTTAATGCTCGTAAAGCATCAGCCTTAATGTCTAAAATATATTTTAATAATACGGTTCAGTATAAATAATCGATGCTCAAAAAACAACCAGTCTCGGTGAATAGCCATTAAAATTGATTTATTTCTTTGTTTTTAATTCACGCGATATCTAATTGTTGTATTATTTTTATGTTTTACATCTTACTTTTGAATGAAAATAAGTAAATATAATACAATATAAACACACTACCGAAATTTTGTATCAATATTTCAATAAATTATTGATAATTATAAAGGTTATATTATTTAAAGAATAGTGATAATTTGGGGTTTATAATTGTTACTAAGTCCTCATACATTATTTCCAGAGATGTTTTAATGTAATATTCGTGTCTAAAATAAATATATTATCTTTATCGTAATATTCAAAAGCGTTCGTGTCTGTCACAGACACAAAAACAAAATTGTCAACAGTTGGTGAATAGACTTTCATCATGTTCTTTGACAAGTTTTATCATGTTAATCATTAATTATTTTTTGATAAAAAAAAGTTACTGATTATAAAAAGTAATTAAAAATTCATGACAAAATCACCTAGGGATTTAAGAAGGTACTGTTATAGCTATTTTCATAAATGACCCAGTTATAATATGTATATTATTACACAACTCACAATGTTAATTGATTGATTAAAAATTTTAGTAACAGATATGGATGAAGGTTTATCATCTATAATAGTGTACATTACAAACTATGCAAAGCAATACTAGTTTGTAAAAATTATGAACTTACACAAATTATAATTAAATCAATTGACTAAAAGATCATTTGTCATTAAAGTTGCTGTCAATATAAAAAAAATGTTATGCTGAAATAATATTGAATAGTATAAGCTTTATACGTCTATAACTTAAAAGACTCATATGTTTGATTTTATGGAGTTCTATGAAAATTTGAATACGCTTACTTTTGCTGAATAAAAGGTTTTTTGTGAATAAATTAATTCCAAAAATATACATTATATATGCCATACATATTTGTATAGTGTATTCTGAAAAATATTGTTTTTTACCGGATATTACTATTCTACAAAACATGTTTTTTATACTTATACCATTTCAATATAATACGAAAATGAAGAAAAGAAAAAGTACAGAAAAAAGACCAATTTTATATCCTGTTCTTTTTTTATTATTGAAATTCCAAATAATAATAGAAAAGTAATTTTGACATTTGAATGTCATAAATATTTTTTTATGACAAAAAAGTGCTACTAGATAAAATAAAAAACCTACTTTGTTCAAATTATTGTTATGATTTTATTTAAAACTAAATAAAGACATTTTTAAACCCTTCAATTTAAAAAGAAAAAGGAATTGCGAAAACAAAATTAGAACTTAATATTATTTTTAATTTATACCAATTCCATAGATAAAATAGACTTAAGTAAAGATAGTTATTATTTATTCCAGACTAGTCTAAAAAAGAAAATAACATCGGTAATCGACGATCAATGTATTATTAAAACATTTAGTTACTTGAATGTTTTTATGAAAATTAATCATTAAACATTTTTGAGAAAACAGTTTTTTCATAAATTACTTAAGCAACTTTCTCTAATACATCACTCACATATTATGATATTAGAAACTAGATCAGTTTATTTGGAGCTCAATAAAAAAAACCCCATTGTTTTTATTGTATATATTTGTAACAGTAAAAACTATTTGGATAAAAAGAGTAGCGCTATAACTATTTGTTTGAATGTTTTCTTTTACGTACATACTTATATCTGATAGCTTATGTCTCCGAGAATTCATGAATTACTTACAGGGTTTTATTACTACACAACATTGTAAATGATACTCTGACTACCATACTATTGAGAAGTTTTTCACCTCGCCAATAAAATACTTTTCTGCTTTTAAAGTTCATATTATTATTTAAAATATCACATTTATTGTTATTTAAAGAGATTATGAAATATCGCAAGATTTTAATAGGTCAAAAATAAATGGTAAAGTACATTATTATTTTACTATTTTAACTATTATTTTCTTAATATAATTGAGAAATGAGTTGTATTTATACATCTTTTTAACATGATCACCAGGTAGTATATTCGTAAATAATTTTATTTCCTGGAAGTTAAAATCTACTAGCGTTGTCAAAAAATATAATATCTAATTACTTTCTATGCGCTATAAACTTAATTTAATCAAACGTCGACTTAAAATTGTACTTTTATTAAAAGCTCTAAAATTAGTTTACTTATTAGTTGCCATTTTTAATTTAAAAACAAATTACTTTGCCTTCTCTTTGTGTTTAATAAAAACTGGAATATTCGTTTTTTTTTTAATGAGAAGGTTGAAACCCCAAAAAAATCGTTGAAGTGATGTAATACTTGACGTTTTTCGCAAGTATGATTACGGCATATGCAATTTGTACAATTAAGCTAAGTAAATGGCAGACGAGTGTTGGAGTGACTGCTCTGCTACTGCTGTTGCGCTGCGTTTATGGATAAGAATGAAGAAAAAAAAGTCGTATGAAATGTTCAAAGATAACCGTAATATTATACAGTCGGTTTCGTTTTACTTTTTAACGCTGTTAGACTCTAAAAGAGGAAAAGAAGAAATAAGCCAAACGACCCTTTTACTCGGTGACAGTTTTTCGCGACACAAGTCTTACGTAAACATATTGAACCTAACACATTTTTCGGTTTTTGATCTTTTCCCAGTCGTTATCCAAATACTAAGATCTCTAGGGAAAACGTTGCAACAACAATTTTTCTATAGAAATTCTTCAGCTATGCGATATTGTAAACATTAGGTAACTTAGAATTGTTTTTCATAGTCAATGTTTTTTGTTCGACAATAAAATATAGCACTTCGTTAAAAGAAAAATCATTTTCATCGATATTTTATAATAAGTAAACAACTTAATAATAAATAGCTTGTAATAAACTTATCATAATGAGTTATAGTATTCAAATGGTACTAGAATAAAAATTTCAATGAAATATTTCCCTTTAGAATATTATTTTCGAAGTAAAACTTTTATAATTTGTTATTAAAATTATACAATTTAGGGACATTAAGTTTTTTCTACAAAACCCAACTCAATATTTTAATAACTAAATTCTAAAAGTAGTCCTTTTTTCATAGTTTACTTAAGTCATTCAAAAATATTTTAATAATTTTTAAAATTAAACTTTATACAATTTTGTTATGCATATTTAAATTTTGTAGAGATAACTTTTGAAATCTACTTTAAATCCGTTTTATATAAACGAAAAGACAAAAGGTTGTATAAATATATTTAATATATCATTAAAAATAAACACATTAAATAAATATGTTTGTATGCATTTATTTACTCAATAAACCTTACAATTTTCGATGTAAAAGAAAAATAAAGTTAATATTAAATTGAGCTAGTATTATTTTTTATATTTTTATTATTTTGGAGTAGAGAGAAAAGACATGAAATATTATATTTATACATAATATATACACACTGGCAACTGGCTGAGCAAAAAACAAATAGAATATCCTGTTTATAAGTCAACAATTTTTGCTTGTGTTTAAAGTAGACTGTCATATAGTATAGAAAATGTCAATGCTAATCGATTCGTCGGAAATGTCAAATACTTACAATAATTTCCAATTGAATAACTCGCAAAATTCTAAGTGTAATACTTACCAGTAGTTTAAAAATTTTTCTCTTACTTGGTTCAAATACCATAGAATATCTAACCACAAAATTGTTACTACATATGTTGTTAGAATAAGACAAACTTTAATTGTGTCGAAATTACTATCAAATATATCATTTTAAAATTGATTTTAAATTACTAACTTTTAGAGGGAATAAAAGTTCATATAGAAATAAGCACGTGACAAAATTGGTTACAAAAGTTATTTTATTAATTATATTATATATGAAAGCTAATTTAGGTACATGATGCGTTTCTATTTTTTACCAAATTATATTTCAATAAAACAATTAATAAACTAAAAAAAATTAATATTTAGAATTTAGCTACTTCTTTTTATACAGAGTTGAAAAATTCATTATTTCCAAACTTCTTTCTACCAAGGACAATACAAAATTAAAGCTATTTTTTCTTATAATTATTCAATAAAACTCTTTTATACATTTAAATTTTATTCTTGGAAATGATACCATTTCCAAGATCGATACGTTCCATACCAAGATTGATAGTTGTATAAAATAGTCACAATTATTTCACCAAAAAAAAATCGTTGACAGAAATTCTTAGTACTGATATGTAAATAAAGCACTGGCTGATCTACAACGGTTTATATGCCGTAGAGGACCTTAGAGTACTTCCTGTTAAAATGACTTTTCATAAGTTTTTTTCTTGGATTTACCGTTGTAGTTGACGAGGCCGTTGACATAAAACCGCCTTGTGTTAGTTGTCGGTAAAAGTCACAGTAAATGAAGTAATGGTTAGATGGTGAGGAGTGAAATGTCCAGTAAAGCGTGAAAAAGTTTAGGTGCAAGTACACGAGTTGTATAAAACAATTTTCACGCTTTGACAACGGCAATGCTATGCCCGCCCCGGGTAACGTTATAAGCGTCGCCGCATATTACGTTTTACCAGATGAGTTTTCGCGTTTCCTATATTTTTTTCTGGAGAAATAGTTAAAACAAAAAGTACACGACAGTGGAGATATTCAGTCACAAATCACTAAGAAAATCCGCGTGCATGGTTTAAGTTAAAAACTTTTTTCTTTATTGATACATATTATAAGATATGATTGGAAAAAGTAATTTTTAAAAGAAAGTTTGCTTAGTACTTTTTTTTAAAAAAAACTTCTTTTATGTTTTTATACATTAGTTATACCAAGCCTATACATTTGTTGCGCTAGAATTTCTTAAAAGTTATGTTTGGCGTGATAAGATTTTGAATTTATTTATATACTCACACTGAACGACGTACGCTCCCAATTCAGCTGTCAGTTCTGAAGTGACTGGTATACGACCCTGCAGTATGTCCTGTTTAAGCTGTAGAAAAAACTGATACCTATAAATCAAAGAACAAAATTAGTTGACGTATGTATAAGCGGTATTCTCAAATATTTTAAAAATTTTTCAGATGAATAATTAAGTAAATAAAAATCTATTCAATCAATCTTTTAAAGTATAAAATGTCAATCTAATAACTTTAGAAGAATCATTATTTATTAAATTTTTTTTAAATTTGTATTTGTAAATATTTTTCTAATTATTTTTTATTAATTTATACAGATAAAAAACAATATAATACCAACTCGCAATCTTCTTATTATTAAAAAAAGGCTTTATTGAACTTATCGTCCAAAAATTATATGTTTTTAACATAGTATTCTATTTTAATTGTACCCTATGTGAAATAAATGAAGTGTCCAGTAATTCACTATGTCCTTATTTAAAGAAAATATCTTTTTGTGCCATTTTCAAACAGATTAATATTCTATACTTGAATATTATTACTAATGTTTGTATAAATAATGTGTTAATTAAACGTAGAAGTTATATAAATATTAAAGTTTTGCCAAATGCTTCAGGCCAGCACAACTCGGTTATTACAAAAATTTAACCGAGTATAGCATAGATAAATAATAATTATTATTACTCTACTAAACACTCATTACACACATTATAAAGGTAACATTTGAAAATATCTATACTTTGTTCACAACCCACTAGCCATGTTTAAATTTTTATCTGAAATATTCATTTGGCGAGTAAACCAATGTGTTACAAACAGACCCTCGTCTATGAATTCGTACATTTTCACATGAACAGCTGCAATTTGATTTGTTAGGGTGTAACATGCATTATAATGCGATGGCTAAATAAATATATATTGCCACTACTACTAACATTGAATTAATGTTTACAATAAAAACTTTCAAGTACTCAAATACTGAAAGTTAAGCACTATTAAGAAATTAAATACATCTTGATAAAAAACCAATAAAGTATAAATATTACTTTTATAATAAAATTATTCTAATGAAAATTATTTTAAAATTATTAAGATATGTATAGAAGTTCATTAACATGTATCAAAGTAATCTTAAAATTTTTTAATTAATATCTTAATAAATTAAAATAATGAAGTAATATATAAGCTTTATCGTAATATTATTACTCGCTTCTTTTTTTGTAGGAAAGTGTCCCCAATTTGTTTCCAAATTTTTGTATGTATCTGAATGTGTTCATATCAGCATACAATTAATAATAACTGTTTATAAAAAATATATCCCTTCACTTTTATTCTACACACAGTAAAATAATGATTTCGTTAGGTGAATATAGTCATGACAAAATTAGCATGCGATGACCTGAAAGGTGAAACATTTTGAACGACCAATTAAAGAATAAAACCATATAATTAAGTATGTAAACTAAATACTGTACTTTCATAAAAAAAAATATCAATATACATTATTAAACAACATAAATATTAAATATCATAACCATGTCAAGCAATTAAAATTAAATACGAGTAGAACACTATTTTTCATATTATCACAGAGAATAGAAATAGTTTTATTTTAAAATTTTCACGTACGTTTAGCTATATTTTTCAATTTAATTTGTCTTAGAACTTTTTATTTTAAAATTAAAAAAATTATATTTTTAAAAACTTTTGTAAATACTGAGTCTCTACAACTGAACTAATGTATTAAACTAATTTATTTGTCTCCTAAGGCTCGTAAATCGTTTTCTGTAATAATTTTCTATACTAATTTTGGAGTTATCAGCAATAATAACTACAATGAAAATGTAATTGATAAATACAAATTTAATTCAAGTTAATTACTTTTATTATAAACTTAAAAAATAATAATATTTAATTTATTTCATAAGATTTATATTTGATAATATTGATCCATTTAAAAATTTTAAATGAAACTTAATATACACGAATCACAAATATTTTGTATAATTTTCAATAATATATTAATTTATATTTACTTAGGTTATAAATTTACCGATAAAATCATAGCTTTTATATTACACTAGACATATTAATGACATTTTTCATAAATAACAATTAGTTATACCTTTCAGTTAAACTAATATATTTATTATTTTATGATAATTAACTAAACTTTTGAATTAATACGTTATTAAAATAAATAAATTTAACACAAAAAACGGAAATGACCTTATAATGAGGAAACGACCAATCGATCAGAAAGGTTTTTAACTGTGATATATCCATATTAGTCTCACTTTCTACAGACAACATCGGCAAGTAAATTGCATGTTGACATGTTATCAGTTTTATATTACCACCAAGAATGTCTATTAATTTATATTGTTAATTTCCTGTGCGTAAGTAAGCTAATATAACTTAAGTCACGATGGGCAAACATAAGTGAAGCATAACTCTGAAAAATCGTATCGTCAATCAAGCGACTTACTTATGTGGCACATGCGTACTCTATTTTTAATATAATATTTTATTAGTTAATCTAAGTGTAAAGTGTAAAGGTTCACTAAGATTAATATATATATACTGGTAAGTATAACATATCGGGGAAATGATTTCATTAGACATTTTCTGAACACGAACAGTTATTACTCGTTAAAATAGGGGAGTGCTGTCTAATTTTCTTTTGGTGAAATTGTTATTAACTTTTCGCTAAAACGAACATGAAAACATATATTTTTTTTTCTTTAGCGCGTGGAAAACAAAATAAAATTTCGATGGTGTTATTTTTAATTTGAGTAGATAAAAACAAAAAAAATATTTTTGTATCAAAACAGAGTTTCAGATATTTGATTAAAAATGTTTAAAATTATAATTTTTGTTCGTGTATGATAAATTAATAACATGTAATTATTTAAATTCTTAAAAATTTATATAGAGTTGAAAGAAATTTTGTTAATTTTTAAAATGAGAAAAATATTTCGTGTTTTCATAGTTCCATATAAAATATTTTTAAATCTTTACAACTTAAAATTAATTTAAACTTATCACACGTTTAAATGTAGACTATGATCGAGTAAATTGATTAAGAAACAACTATTTATTTAAGCTATATATGTAATAAAGTATTTCTTTTTTANAAAATGTTAATCCTAAATACTTAGTGGAATTAGCTTGTAATATTTTAAGCTATATATGTAATAAAGTATTTCTTTTTTAATAATAATCACTTAATAAGAAATTCTGCGCTCTTTAATTGCGTACTTCCTGTAGTCATTTAATGTTTCATCAAATATTTGCGAGCTATAAGAAAACATCATTTCACTTATGATATTTTAGGAAATTGTTAATTCAATCTATTTAAACTAAAGATTTGATATTTGTTTATCTGAATTTCGAAAATTTAAAACTACTAACATTTACTGACAATCATTTAATTAAAAAAATAGAGATACAAAACAAATATTTAAAATTTAAAAGGAAAATACTTTCAAAGTATTAATAACTTAGTATAAAAGTTTATTTACAAAAATAATTCACGTAGCTGATAAATATATGAACTTATCTAAAAAAAGAAGTTTTGTAATTCTACAGCAATAAATTCTAAGCCAATAAATATGATTTCGATGAAACTACATTATTTTTGTTTCCATAATGCTACGACAAGGTAGAATTTGGAACAGGGTACAGCACTAACTATCGTTTTTATCACACCAAAGGCATTTTGATGACGAAATATGCTTGCGCTTTTATGTTGGGTTATAAAAAAAATGTACATGACATCATAATATCCAAAAGAGTTATAACCGTAAAAACTACATGAAATATCTGCGTCGACATTATTTTTGAAGCACATCCGAAGAAAACAAAAAACAATAGGTCTTTTCAAATCTTTTTTATACTACATCGATGACTTTATATACATAAACAGATTTATAGTAATTGCCGGGAAATTACCTCATCGATTAGCTTTAAAGGAACAGTTTCACTATCTTAATCCGAAATATCTATCACAAACCAAATCTAATTTCGAAGTGCTACTTTTTATTAATCAAGTAACTTAACGACAGTAAAACGATTAGTATGGAAACGGCACACGCGACTCAGTAGAGTTGGGTACTAATTATTTAATACACCGACTACACATTACTGTCGTCGTTAGCCAAAGATAAAAACTGTAATTTAGACCTTTTGGTGTTCTAATGTACATTTTCCCCATAACCAACTCTAAAAAGTAAAAGTAAATTAGAAGGTTTAAGATTCCACAGATCGCACACCATGACAGCCAAGAGCCAAAATATTCAACTACTTCAAACAAAAATTTAATTCTACTTTGGAATAAAAATTATGACGCATAAAATATTTTATCTAAAGAACAGGTAAAAAGATAACAATTTTTAAAAAGATAAATTTTCATATATTTAATAATTCTACTGGACTGCCTTATAAAATAAAATTATAGATGTATAAAATCGAAAATATAAAACCAAGAATTTTGACACAAAAATAGCATATTTTTTAATACAGTAGCCAATTTCATCTTGACGACAAACTTAAGTTCGAAATTTTTTTTTCAAATAAAAGTATATTACATAAGAATTCATTTAAGATCTATATAAAAGTGTTAGTATTTCCGGAACATTTTCAAAAATTAAATTAAAAAGTTTAATTTTTTGTAGAAAAATTGTAATTTTCCATTACTGTGGGCAAGTGAAGGGTTAAATTTAAAAAAAAAATTTATCTTGATACATACATTTTTGATAAAGTTATGGTAGTTTTAAGTAAAAAAATTTGAAAAAATGTCAAAAATTACCGATTTTTACATTTGTAATTGTAATATTAGAGATTTTTTCCTTATACAGAGAATGATGGAAATTTTTTCAATTTCAAGTAATGTTTACGACTACATGCGATTTGTAATCTTTAGGCGTATCGTTGAAAGAAATCGATTTAGTGAGAGCTGAGAATAATTAGTAAAAGACACAAAAAAGTAAATAAATAAAATAAAAAAATCACATGACAATAAAATTAATACCTTCTCAAATTCGCATCAAAGCTAAAAAAAATTTCATTATTCTTTTAGAGTTGTACGACAT